GTAGACCCATCTTGTTCGAAGAAGCCGCCTTCGAAATAATGCTTCGGCTGGCACTTTCCCAGGCCGTGGTTGACACCCTGTAATTTAGCAGCGGTGAGTAATGAGGCTGGCTTTTTTCAGCACTTCAGTAAACTTGTGAGTGAGAGCAGGAGCACGAGCGTTCGCCACACCAGCCTGGCCCCACTGATGCTAGAAGGGGAGGAGGCCTCGGGAAATTGGAGGGCCCAAGGGAGCCTCTGGAATACTTGTTTATATAAGGTTAAAATACAAGAACAGAAGTAGCATTAATCTGTAGCTTTAAAAAAGCAAACAAGCCACACATAGCCAAGCAGAACGGAAGGAGAAACTCTGCTGCATAGGGAGACACTGTTTTGAGGAACGTCCCACTGTCCGACTTGAGTGCATGTTTTCCCTTAATGTACCAGTGTCTCTTCTTTCCGCCCCGTCTTCTGAAAGGATCACGATAAATGCACAGGGAAGTGCGGAATATCATAGCTGATCCAGTACTGAGCTTCTTTGGCTTTCTTTTAAAAATGAAAAAGCTCCCCAAGTTTCTAGTCCTCATGGTTGGCAGAATATGCTTGAAAGAACATTAGAATATTAAAAAAGCACCCTCAAAATCCCAAGAGTGACTGAAATAGAGTTTCATTGGTTGTGGGGGGGATTACACGCTCTACATAGCCTTTGCCCATAACAAAACCAGAATAAATTATGCAAAATAAGGGAAATGTGCAAGCTGGCTTTGGAAGGCAGGGCAGACTGAGAATGCCTGGCCACATATTTTTAATTCACAGCAGCACAACTCTGATCACAGCCTATTATTTTCCTGCTTCGTCTCCCTGCACAGTTTTCCTCCTTAACTAAGACGTTCCTGCAGTCGCACACAGCCCGAGACTGCAGGTCGAGCGGCTGCATATGTCGCATCGCTCCAGCACCCCTCTGGCTGGACGGTGGCCATCCGCCGGGTGCTCCCCGACACTTCTTCTTTTAGTCTTTGTGTGCAATTTTGTTTGCCTTGTGTTTTCTTACACCCTCTGCAAGAAGTACTCTTTGGTTTATGGTGCTGTGGAGACAGCAGGGAGGTGCAGTTGTCCGAGACAACAGCAGTTTTACGAGGTGAATTTGATACTCATTATAAGTGGCCCTCATAACCTTTGTCTTTAGTCACCAGGAAAACCTTGCCGTATCAAAAGCAAACAACAGGCCTGAGATACGAGAAGAGCACAGCCTTAGGTAAACTGGGTGGCTGAATGTAAGAGGTAACCGGATTAAACCGTCCCTGTTTTGCCTTGTCCAGCGGAGCAGGGCCGGCCAGCTTGGGAGAGCCCGACTCGCCCTGTGGCGCAGCCAAGCCCGCCCTCTGCCTCGGGACGGTGCCGTCCTTCCATGCCGCTTCCAGCACCAGGGAGCGCCTAAGAGAAATCTCCGGAGTGGTTGTAGCAAGGGGTTTGCCTTCGGAAAATGCAACGGAAGTGCAGAGAATTACCGCAGTCTGAGCCAGCGCTGAAGATCCGCGGGGGTGGAAATGTCGGCCTGTCTCGGCTTGTAGAAAATGCACGGGGTGGGGGGGGGCAGGCAGGGAGAATTCCAAAGCAGGGAAAATGGGAAGATCTGCTCCCATATCCAGGGAGATGGCAGCCAGGGCTGCGGCCTCCTCCAGGTAGCCTGGCCGGTTTGTGCAGCCCAGGTGGTCTCCGTTTTAGCTTCCAGGATAAGAAATTCTAAACTTGGTAGTTAGTTGCTCTGAGGACAGTAATGGGTGGGCACCGGGGGGGGGGGGTGACTGTCGATCGCTCATTTAAGCCCCGTAATCCGTGCCAGGAGTCCCGCTTTGGCCTTGCAGGAGCTGAGCGTGCTTTGAAGCCTTTCAGGCTGCTGGCGGAAGCATGGGTGATACAGGCCCCTCGGGTACCCTTGCAAAGATCAACATGTTCCTAGGAAGGACGCCATCAGCTCGGCATAAACAGATCACTGTTCAGTCTCCTGTCGAATACCAAGCAGGGCTGAGGCTGGGAAGTCTCAGACGTCGCGTGTGACGCGCTTTCCACGGTTGACTCATGGGTGGCTTCCAGTCCCGCTGTGTGCAGAGCAGAATTTCCAGTTGACATCAGAAGGAATAGATTTGACAGCAATAGTTTGGCAATATCGGTTAGCTGGTTACCCTCTGGAAAAATCCACGACTCCACACACTTGGCTCAGCCAAGGCAAACTTTATGTCAGCCTTTTAAGTTAGTCTGTAAAGATGCTCTCGGTAGCTTTCCCCAACTGCAATATTCTGGGACATGCGAAAGGATGGCCTGATCTTTGGCTCCACTTTCTTTGCGATTCCTGCCCGTGTTTAGAATGTGAAGGTGGATCCCATGGGACAAATCGGAGCCTCCGGAGTCCTGCGTTCCGACTGTGGAAGCGGAAGTGAGTGGCGGTGTTCGGATGGCACGCCGGGCTAGGCCGAGGCCTGCGCGTGAGGCTAGGGCCAGGCGGTGAGCGTCTCACAAGCGGCTTTCTCATGCAGGGCGTCTCCGTCCCGTCAGCATCAGACGTGATTAAGATTTGGTGCCGCAGCCGGTGGGCGGACTAATATCGTAGGGAAAGCGTTGGTATTCCAGCTCGGGGAGTATAATTAAGTCGGCACTGAGCCTCTTCCTTGGCAGTGCCCTGGAAAGAGGTCATTTGAGACAAGCTTGGAGTTTAAAACTACCCATGCCATTTGCATCGAAATAGCAGGCCGCGGAGGGGTGGCACTCGGCATGCCTTCAGCTGTATACAAAGGGGAAGCCCGGGTACCCCAAGTCCTGTCCGAGGAGAATTCCCGAAACGTCCTTTGGAAATGAGGGACATTGCAGGGACAAGGGCAAGCGAGAGTCTTGGCTTCTCGTGCTTCTGGAGCCTCGTGTTTACATTCCCCAAAATTGCCTGGCCGTATTTTATCCGTGTGCCTCACATACCTTGAGAAGGCAGTTGCTCTTTCTGGCCAGGGAGGGCAGCTGCGCTCCCTCCCTCGGTTGGCCGCTTTGTCGCTGCGCTTGCGACTCCGAGGGCGGCAGCTCCGGGGAAGCAGGCAGTCAGGGATGGGAGCGAGGGGCCTCGAGGCCTCGGAAGCGGCACTTGCTGTCCATCTTTTTCACCCGTTCGGGGAAAAACGGCCTGGTGGGCCGAGCTCGGTCCCTCGTGTCCCTTCTGTTTGTCGCTCTCGGGCTTTTTCATCATGCGGCAGAAAGTTGCCGGCCTCCAGGACGTGGCGTTTTGCTGCGCAGCCACGGGCTGCCAAGCGCCTCCCATCCGAGGGGTGTGGGGCAGCACACGTGGAGAAGGGGCAGCGCAGTCCGGGGGAAGGAGGGCGGCCCCCGCAGGGGTGCCGGGGGGGATGCTGGCTGTGGCAGGTGCCAGGGAAGAGGCAGGCTGTGTGCCTGGGTGGGGCGTCCGCCTCGCCGGCGGCCTGCCCGTGTCGTGTCGGTCACGGATGCCGGCCTTTCCGCAACAGAGCGGCAGCAGAGGGGAGCGGCACGTGACCGGCCAAAAGCGAAGTGGGTCTCGGCACCGGTGGTGTGATGAGGTGCGGAGAGAGACCACGTGTGCCCAAAATAGGCCCCAGGGTGGTTCTGGCCCTGGCAACGCCGGCTTCTGGAAATGGGGTCCCTCCGGACAGCAGGCGGCATTTGGGTGCACGCGGTCCAGGGGGGCTCGCCTTGTGTCTGCCCCCGGGGCGTGTGCCGGCTGGGGAGGAGTAGGAATTTTGGAGCAAGGAATGTGATTCAAGGCAGTCGAGCCAAGTGGCAGAGGGGGCACCAGTCCGTCTTCGTCTGAGACGTGTTTGCCCCACTCTCGACTGAAAGGGCTTCCAGAAGGGTTTGCATGAGGTGAGAATAACCAACAAAGTCATTTGTGAACTAGTCTGTCCCCAGGCCTAGAATCGGCAAAGCGCGATAGAAAAGGAAGAATGGTGGTGAGGGAAGACGGAGAATCGCGGGCCGTGCGGGAGGCTGCCTCAGTCGTGCTGGGACCAGAGTTGCGTTTCGCTCAGGGCCCCCTTCTCTGACTCAGAACGGCTCTCCAGGGGCTCAGCCAGAAACCGTTCCCAGCCTGGCCACCAAGGTGGTTCTTTCTTGTGGCAACCCCATGAGCGACACGAGCTTTGCCACTAAGCCGTGGGCTTCCCTGTGTGGCAGCGAACACGCCAAAGTAGCCGGTTCCCAAGTCGGCAGCCCATGCCTCCCACCGGGCGGTGCAGCCCCAGCTGACCTGTTCCCCCCGGGGGAAAATGCTCCTGGAGAGACTGCTAGCACCCTGTTGCAATGGAGCATGTCCTCTGGGGAGCCCAGAAGCCCAGCGTGGCCCCATTTTCCTGGCCACCAGAAGAGGAGTGGCGAGGCAGACAGACGGGTCCTGCAGGGCTCTGCCAGGACAGGGGGCGCAAGACAGCTGCCTGCCGGCATTGGCACCGGCACGCCAGCTTGCGGGAACTGCTCGCATCAGAAGATGGCGCTGAGGACCAGCAGCCTCCACGGCCCCTGCTCAGCCCCTGCTGCGACTAGGGAGGGCCCGAGTGCAGGGCAGGAGCGGCTCTGCTGCCTTAGCGGGGGGCATGCAGCCCCCACTGCTCAGACGCCTCTGGTGCACTTCCCAGGCTCCACTGCTCAGCCAACCCACCAATCCGGCCGCAGGGCCAAATATAGGAGGAAACAGGCCACTGAAGGGCACACAAGGGCACGTGTGGAGGAAGCGGAGAGCCCTCAGAAGCAGGTGTGCCGTTTTGATGCCTAAAAAGGAGCAAGGAAGAAAGCAAAGCGGGGGCACCGAGCTTGTGAACGTGAGCAAGTGAACGGGGCAGCGGGCGCGGGGGCGGAGGGCAAGGACGGCCATCGGGTGCGCAGGGAGCGGGCTGGCCCCCGGCCACTCACCCCTCGGCATGCGGCATGTTCTTTTCTTGTTGCTCATCGGGCAGGATTCCTAATGATCCAGGCCTTTTTCTCTGGCATTCGTAATACGCTTCTCTCTCGCAGATTATGTATGGGATAAAACGGCTTTCCTGGAAGAACTGGTGGTCGGGAGTGGCGATACCCTGGAACTTCTGTGTAGCCCCCCGGGCTCCGCTGGGTCCGTCATCTGGTATAAAGATGGCGGTGGGATTTCGCCCACCAACCGAACCCAAATTGGCCCGAAGGTCCTGAGGATTGCCAACGTGTCGCACAACGACTCGGGCCAGTACAGCTGTGGGCCGGGGCACTCGGCGGAGGTGCTCGGGAGCTTCTCCGTGCGAGTCACGGGTGAGTGCGGGGGGGCTCCTTGTCTTGCCTCCCCCAGCGGGTCCTCCAGGCCGCGCTCGGTCTCGGCCAGCCGCGCAGAAGCAGCGGCGCTTCCCTCCGCGTGGGAACGAGCGTGCGCCTCGCACTGTGCTAGAGGCCAGGTTTGTGCCGAGGGTGAGCCGCACTCCGGATTCGCCACGGGTTGCTGGAGCGCCATTTGGCATCGGCCCCAAGAGAGCAGTCCTTGCCAGGCCGGGTTTTTAATTTGATTTGCTTGCGTTTTAGGTTGGATTAATTTTACCCCCCCTCGCCCCCCCCCGGTTGAATGCTTGGCTGGAAGAGTGGTTATGAATTTCGCACTCTCTGTGGCTGTTCGTTAAAGTGACAATATAATTTTTAGGGGGAGCTCTTGGCACTGTAAAGTTGTAATTCCAGCAATTATGTGTGTCGGGCTGGGCGGTGATCAGCCGTGGGCAAGCCGCGACCTCTGTGCATGGGCACGGGCTCTGCCCCGCCTGCAGCCGCTTCCCTGCTGCAGCGCAGCCCCTGCGTGGCGCTCGGCTTTTCTACGGTGGGGGCAGCAGAGAGAGTCCCCTCGCCCTGCTCTTACTGGGAAACCCAGCCCAGGGCTCTGGGGCTGCCTCTGCATGCAAGCTCTCCTGGTCGTCTGCCTGCATCTTTAGGCGTTTGCTGTGTTACAGCGAGAGATGCAAAGCAGAAAGATGGCGTGGGTTTTTATACTAATGGAGAAAGTCAAAATAGAGACATGGAAACAGAGCGAGTCGGAAGGGGCCTCCCAGGCCATCTAGTCTGACCCCAGCTCCAGCCAGCTCCACTCAGGACATGCCTGCCATGTGCGTGTTCGGCCTATCCTTGAACACCCGCCCTGAGGGGCTCTTCTTGGTGTGTGGAATGTACTGCCTGTAAGACGTTTCCTTGTCCCTCGGTGTCTCTGCCTGTACCTCCCTGAGCCCAGTCTCACAGCCCAGTCGCCTCAGGTCCCTGCCGACGAGCAGCGTCTTGTCCCTGTGGGTGGGGTGGCCGCCAGGCCCCGAAGGGGAGCAGCGTGTTGGGGCGGATCACGGCTCGCCCAGAGGGTGTCTTGCGCTGGGCACAGGGCATGCACTGGGCTGGCAAGGGGTGATGTGCCCACATCCTGCATGTGAGAAGGGCGTGTGGGGCCAGGCATGCCCCCCTCGCCATCTGCACAACGGCTGGTGCACCTACAGGAACGAGGCGGAGGAGGTGGCGAGGGGACTGGAGGCCCCAGCCCGGGAGGAGGAGGCGGGGGCTCAGGGGATGGCGTGTCGGAGGACGACTCGTCGTGTGCCAGGCACAGAAAGGAAAGCAGGATGCGGCCAGACCTGGGTTCAAATAATGGCTGCCAAATTCATGCCAGTCCACCTGCACTGGCGAAGAAAATGCACTGCAGTCAATGAAAAAGAAGGAGTCCAGATCTTTAATTCCAGAAAGTATAACTCCATTTCTCTCTTCTCTAAGAATCACCTTCATCAGGCGATGATGAAGAGGATGATGATGACGACGATTCCGAAAATGGAGGTAAATGCCTCGGGTTGGGGGCACACGGTCTCACCCTCAGCGTGAAATGTGGCTGGACCAGCAGGGCTGGAACTGGCCGCAGTACGGGGCACTGGTGTGGGGGCCTCGTGGATTCCGGCTGGTTGCCTTTAACACTGAGCTTCCTGCTCGCTAAAGCGGAGCCAGAACTTCTCAGAATTTCATGGACATCTTCTGCATTCTGCACTGGGAGCTGTGTTAGTGTGGGGAAGAAATCCCCCCCAGCCCGTTCTCCCACAGAGTTTCAGCACTCCTGGAACTGCTCCTGGAGGACTTTAAAAGCAGGACTCTTCCAGGCTGGAATTTATTCTGTGCAGGTGGAGCAAATCCACGTGCCGTGAGGAAGGAGCAAACAGGTAGCTCAGGCCAGGGCGTCAAGCTTCTGCGTCAGCAGCCGTAGTGTCGGCACTGCATGGATGTAAACATCCAAGTCTGTTGTTGCGTGGTGCAGTTCAGATGGGGCACCTTGCCAGCGTTGAGTGTGTTAATTAGAGCGTGGACCGTTACTGCGCGTTTGATTGTCTGCACGCTGATTGCACCCGGTTCGGCTGAGCGCAGCGGGGCGTGTGTGGCACGGTGAGGGTGGCACCGAAGCCCCTGCGCGTCCTCCTTGCGGGGCAGGAAGAGCCCCTCTGTGCTGGTTCCCGCCCGGGCATTCGGGCTCCTGGAGGACCAGCTTTCCGTGCTTGCGGTCGCTCGCCTGCCGGGCCGCCTCCTCCGCCGTGGCATCTCCAGGTTCTCTGAGGATGTGGGCGTGGAGCTCCGCCCGGTGGGGGAAACTGCGTGTGGCAGGAGCACTCGGGTGTCCAGGGCCAGCCCAGAGCAGCCACGCCACCCGCTTTCCTGAGCCTGCTCTGGCCGTGGACTCCGTTCTGCGGGGCTAAGGACGGGCTCCCGCTGGCATTGTTCCCTGCGGCTCCGCGGGCAGCTGCCAGTCTCGGCCCACAGAGGCGGCTTTGCTGGGGATCCTCTGAGCCACGTGCCGCATCGGCTGGAGGATCTGGGCCTCTCTGGAACGGCTCTGCCTGGTGCCCACAGTTGCTCCTTACTGGACGCGCCGGGAGAGGATGGAGCGGAAGCTGCTCGCCGTGCCCGCCGCAAACACCGTCCGCTTCCGCTGTCCGGCCGCTGGCAGCCCCTCGCCTTCCATCTACTGGCTGAAGAACGGGAAGGAGTTCCGAGGGGAGCACCGCATCGGAGGCATCAAGGTGAGGCGCGGCGTGCCAGTGCTGCGCTCGCTCGTCCCCAGTTTGCCAGCCAGCCAGCCAGGCGCTCGCTCACCGCTCTGCCGTGGAGCGCCACGCGGGCGTGTGGCCCGGCGTCTTCCCACAGTGGACGCTTCCCCTTTGGGCATGTGCCTTGCAAAATCCCAGCCGAGGTGCCGCTCCCCATGGAAGCGCGGGCTGTGCTTCGGATCCCTCCATGCTGCGGGTCCCGCCGGAGCTACGACAAGCCAAAACCGGCCCGCAGCCTCCCTGGGAGCCAATGACGGAGGTGTCGGGGAGCGACGGGCCCATTCCAGGCCAGGTGACGCTGCCTGGCTCATCGCGGGCATCCCACCCCACCCCACCCCGCGTGGCTGATTGCCAGAGTGGCTTGCAAGGTCATGCAGCCGCCGGCGTGGCAGCCTGGCCCCGGCGCTGAGTCACCTGCAGGAAGTTCTCTGCTGCGGGGGGTGACCGGTTGGCAGCTTTTCCCTTCAGGCTTCCAGGGCTGTCGATCCCCTGGGCAAGAGGGTCCCTGGGCAGGGGGCTTTCAGGTAGCCTTTTGCACATGACAAGGCACCCCTTCATAATCCTTTTGGTTTCTGAAATTACTTGGTGCCTTTTTTCTTTTGTGGTAAAACCCTGGAATGCACCTTTATCATCACAGGAACTTGCTTTTAATTGAAAGAGTGAACTTTCGAAAGAATCTCTTTACAAGAAATTAATGCTTATAGGAAATGCTCGAAGTCTGTCAAATTCCTTGTCATTTCAAAGCTTCGGTGTGCCTTTAGCCACAAAATCCCCATTTCGAAGACACCTGAGCCCAGAAGCCCCGTCCTCCGTCCCGCCCGCCCTGTCCCTGTTTCCGGGACGGGTCGAGCGCGGTCACTTGGGCCTCTCCCCTTTCCCTCTGCAGCTCCGGCGCCAGCAGTGGAGCCTCGTCATGGAGAGCGTGGTCCCCTCGGACCGGGGCAACTACACGTGTGTCGTGCAGAACAAGCATGGGGTCATTTGGCACACATACCAGCTTGACGTCCTTGGTAAGCTTTCCCCCGGCCCGACTGAGTCCTGCCGAAAGTGCTCACGGACGCACCGAGAGGGAGTCAGCTTGCGGAAGCGGCGCCCGTGAAGCAGCCCCGGTGGATCGCCAGGAAGTGAGAACCGTGCCGCCTTTCCTTCTCGTCCGCAGAGAGGTCACCCCACCGCCCCATCCTCCAGGCAGGGCTCCCTGCGAACCAGACTGTGGTCGTTGGGGGCGACGTCAAGTTCTCCTGCAAGGTGTACAGCGACGCCCAGCCGCACATCCAGTGGCTGAAGCACGTGGAGGTCAACGGGAGCAAGTATGGACCGGACGGGACCCCCTACGTCACCGTCCTGAAGGTCGGTACATGGCTACATGCCCCTCCGGGCCCGCTTCCCTCGAGCGGCCACGTGCCGTGCTGCCAGCAGGCGTGTCCCTGTGCGGGACTTGTGGGCACGGGGGGCGCACTCCCTGACAGCCAGGCGGGGCCCGCAGGCAGCAGTGCAGGACTCTGCCTGCCAGCAGTTGAGGGGAGGCAGATATTTCGGCTGCACCCAGGCGTTGAGTCGCCCAGTGGCCGAGAGGCGCAGGGCAGGTCATCCGGTTCCCAGGGCGAGTGCCGCTTTGCCCTGAGCTCGCCGGGCGGCCTGAGCCGGGGCAGCTCCTCGTGCTTTGGCAGCCACCCGAGGGTCAACGTGGGTTTCTGGGTTGCTGCAGAGATCCTTGCAGCGCCCGGTGGGGAAGTGCCCACGGGGTGAAACGGCCTTCGCCTGGCACCGAACTGGGACCCCAGGGATTGGGAGGCGGTGCTCCCCAGGCAAGCCACGGCCGGTTGCGAGGAGGCCAGCTCCCCGGCGGGTTGGCCCGGGCCCCCCTCTGCAGCCCAGTCGGCCCCACCCGGGCTGGGCTGCCTGGACTGGTCCGGAGGAGCAAGAGGACTGTGTCCAGTCCGGTGTCGTCCAGCTAGCCTGAACTGCAGCTTCCAGGATGGCAGTCTGTTGGGCCATCTTGGGAGTTGGCTGGGGCTGATGGGAACTGAAGTGAACAGCTTCTGAACAGGACCGTGCTGGGGTGGTGCTAGCATGAAGGTGTCTCTCTGGGAAGCCTGGCTCGCCCACAGCAACCTGACTTCCAAGGAAACCTGGAACCGCGGCCGACTGAGCTGCGGCAAGGAACCTCGGAAACTGCAGCCGTGCAGAGAGGGCCAAGGGCTTCGGTCTTAAGAAATAGCCTGCAGCTTTTTGACAAGGGAGAGAAACAGGCAGCTGCCTGGATACAGTCCACCAGCAAAACCGGAGTTCTTTTGCTTCTGCAGTTACTCTTTTTTTTAAGATCAGTTTAGAGCAAGGCAATTTCTGAATTGGTTTAAAATGGCACGGTGTAGTAACAGACGAGGGCTGGGAACATCTGTCTAACGTGTGGTGAGAGGCATTGCTTGGTTTACTGAAGTTCAGGTTTCTGTCTATTCTACAGTCTTGGATCAGTAAAAACGCTGAAGCTGATGCTAACCTAAATCTGTTCAATGTGACAGAGCAAGATGAAGGCGAATATCTATGTAGAGCCAACAATTTCGTAGGGAGAGCCGAACAATCTTTTTGGCTCCATATTCACAAATCCAAACCAGGTAAACCCTCGACTCTGTCCCAGAAGCTTAGCGGCTGCAGGAATGAGCAGTGACACTTTAAGGTGCTAGTCCTTACCATTAATATTCACTTCACATCCTGTCCTCTTTGCTGACAGCGCATGACTTGGTGCGGCTACTTCTCTTTCTTTGGCTACTTTTAGAATCTTTGGTGCTTTAAAAATCAGCTGCAATGAAAAAGCCCCCATGGACGACTGTCGCGTAGACACGGTGCGCTGCCCCCCTCGACTGCTTGCTGCTCGCCCCGCGCTGCTCGTCCACGCAGCCCTCCCTCCGCTTCCCCTCCCTCCCTCCCTCCCGCCCTGGGCTGCAGGCCCCTTCAGGCGTGCCTGGGGCCATTCTCCGCATGTGGGAAGAGGCGGATGCACGGGCCAGACCCTTGGGCGGCTCCTTCCAGACTCAGACTCGGCTCGAGGAAATGCGCTGCCAGGGCCCGAGGGAGCGGAGGGAGCGGCAGAGCAGGCGGGTGACTCGGGTCCCTGCTCTCTCGGCGGCCCTTCTGACCCCTAACACCCCAGCGCTCTGCCCTGCCGCGAGGACTGGCCCACTGCCCCTGCTGCGCCTCCGGCCTTGCCGCCCACCTCGCCTGCTCCGGGCTGGGTCCCCGCTGCCCCCCCCCCGCCACCGCTCTAGGCAAGAGACAGTCGATCGTGGAGGCCGTTTTTCATTCGGATGCTGCCGCTCGCACACGCGTCTTTCGTGGGACAGAGCGAGAGCCTGGTGAAGGGAGCTTGCTTGCTCCGTGGTGCGGCAGGGAGCGGGCCCGGCCACAGGCACAGCGAGGACGGCAGTCGCTCTCGACGTTTGCCGGAATGCCTGCGCTGCCTTCTCTGGGAATCTGGCTTACCCCGTGTGTTTTCTCCCCTTCTGCTCCCTCCCTCCCTCCCTCCCTCCCTCTCCTCCTGTGCTCTCTCCCCTCTTTAGACAGCAGGTGCTAACAAAACGGATAAGGAGCTAGAAATTCTGTACTTGCACAATGTCTCTTTCGAGGATGCTGGGGAATACACTTGCCTTGCTGGGAACTCTATTGGGTTTACACACCACACCGCGTGGCTGACGGTCTTACCAGGTACTTCTGCTTGGCACGTTGTCCCTCCCCTCCCGAAAGGGCTTGTGTGCCCCCTCACACGAGGCCCGTGGCCGGCCGGCCGGTCGGTGGCCCGGCCAGCTGTGCCCCAGCACAAGCACTGCCGGGAAGAGCGCAGGCCTCGCAAGCCACGCGCGGGCCGGTGCTTGCCGGAGCGGGCAGCGAACGGGGCTCGTCCCTCGCCTCGCGTGGCGAACTGCCGCCCTTCCCCTTGCCGGCAAGCCAGCCTTGGCAGGACTGTCCAAACGGCTGCTTTCTCCCCAAGTCCGAGGCGGCACCGGTCGTGTTGCACAAGCTTCGGTTGATGCCTGCACACCCCTGAATTCTCGTCCAGATGGCAGAGAGCGATTTGCTTCCGGCTCGGAGCACAGCCCGTGACCGAGGGGGTGGGCGCGATGGCAGAGCCTTTTCAAAATGGCGGCCCCTTCGCTGTGTCGATGCAACGCAACGTGTCACTTGGCTGGAAGCCCCAGGGCGGGCGTGGCCTGCGTGGATTCTCTCAGACCGCAAAGGCTTGAGCACGTGGCATTTCTGACCCTTGGCTTCATAAATGGGCTGGGGCTTTGACCATTCAGTTTAACGTAAAGTGCTGCTTATGCTGGATTGTGCCCAGTTTTGGAAATCTCTGAGGCCTGGAAGGGATGCCTCTTGGAGCTGTGAGATGTGGCACCAGATGCCCTGCGGGATGGGCCTGCGGGGGCTTCTGTGGCAAGCAGAAGGCTTCCACCCCCCCCCCCCCCCCCCGCCCCAAGCTCAGGCCCTCTAACACCTCCGGGCCGGATGTGAACGGCGAGCGCCATGCGCAGAGCGAATGCCACCCCCATGGCAGCAGTGGGGGTGAGCACTCTGCATTCCCTCGGGGGTAGATAGCATTCCGATCGGCACTGCCTCCGCAGACGTGCTGGCTGTTGCTCCCTTCCAGTGGCTGGAAGTGCTTTCTCCAGCAGAGGCCACTTTCCAAAATGCAGTCTGGTACAGTTGTTTTAATTAATCCCTGAGCTGGAATTGGCATCCCCACGAACGTGAACGGGGTCCAAACACACTTCTTGACATTGCATTTCATTCCCGTAGCGAGCATTTCGCCGATCCGCATGGAAGGGAGGGAGGGCTGCTAAATTCCTGGAAGATAGCACGTGTCTGAGGCCTCTTGCACCGAGAAGCGTTCTCTGCAATGATCCATCACCAGCCGTTCCCAAACAGCCGCATCTGCTTCTGCGGGATGGTGGGGGTGACCTCAGAGGATTGGGCTCCTCCATTACGGAGCAACGAGGCAGGAGCTCTGCTGGCCCCCGGGCTCGTTCCAGCCAGGGACACCATCTGCGCCGCCGCCTGCGCAGAAGCCCGTGCATCCCACGGCCTGGCGGGTCTGGGGGTGCCGGGCCTCTCGGCAGGGAGGCCTTGCCCGTGTGTGTGGCCCAGCAGGCCCAGCACAGTGCCAGAGTCCGCCATCCGGCCAGCGGTCCAAGGCAAAATGGGCAAAGCACCGCGAGAGGCCAAGTGGCGAAGGGGCCGGGCCCGCCCTGCAGCGCCGTGTGTGACGTGGGAGCAATGAAGAGGCACCGCCCTCGGCTCCGTGCGCAGAGTCCGCAGCGATCCCCAGAAAGGAGGCAAAATGAGCCGGACTTTGCCTTATGGGCGATGCCGCACTGGATGCCCTTTTATGCTAAGTGCAGGAATTGCCGCTGGTCCAGACGGGAAGGCAAGAACGGCAGTGCCTTCCTAAACCAGGATCCTGCGGACTTGCAACCTGGCTTGTTTTATCACAGACTGTGCTACAATACGACGAAGCTGAGTGGCAGTTAGATCAACGAGGAGCGGTATTTTAACACAAACACACCGTTCGCCTTGTCTCCAAGTCTTGGGTCGCATTTCACAAAACACGCCCTGCTCCAGCGGCTTACCAGGACCCCTTGGGGCAGTGGCAGCGTCCTGCGGGGGCTGGATCGTGGCCCTTCCCGTCCCTGCCCTTGAAACGCGTAGGGAGCAGAGGTGTGATGCTCCGCTGAGCGTGTCGGGCGCAGGTTGACTTCGAGGCACCGCCAGTCGAGCAGCCGGTGGTGCCACTGTGCCCACACCGGCCGCTGACCCCGCTTCTCTCCGCAGCAGAAACGCGCATCGCCGTGGAGGGCTCGAGCTCCCTCTATGCGGGCGTCCTCAGCTTCGGGGCCGCCTTTGCTCTTTTCATCCTGGGGGCGGTGGCGGTGGTGATCTACAGAATCAAGAGGCCACCCAAAAAGCCCGTGAGCACCAGCCCTGTCCAGAAAGTCTCCAAGTTTCCACTCAAGAGACAGGTAACAGAAAGTAGATACAAGATTACTGTCCCCCTCTTGCCTCTGTGTAGTCGTCTTGCTAGAACAGAAACTCGTCCTGCTTAGGGATGCCCAGAGCAGTTCTAAGCAGATTCGGGGGTACCTTTTGCAGGAGATGGAGTTATCTTGTTTAATCGTGCTTTCCGGAAAAAAAATGCACAGGTGTTGAGGTGTGGCCTTACTGTGCGCTGGGGGACTATGAGGCCCTGCTGTCGAGCTGCAGCTGGGCTGGAGCCTGCCGAGGTTATCCGGGGTGTCAGCCCTGCCGACTGATCGAACGCAGACTCCGGAAGGGGCCTGCGGAGCGTCCTCATAAAGCAGCGGAGGAGGAGGAGGCGAGCCTGCAGCCTTCCTCCTCCTGGCTGGAACGGCTGGCTGAGGGGCCCCGACTGAGACTGTGGGGCGCCAGTCTGGGTGCTTGGGGGATGCACCCATCCCGTGGCAGCGTGGGGTGCTGCCGGGGAGCACCTGGGGGCGAGGCCCAGCCCTGCAGGGCCGTCAAGGAAGCCTCGGCCTCGGCGAGTGGCAGGGTCGGCTTCCGAGAGGGTCTGAGCCGCGTGGCAGGCCTGCCCTCCGCTCTGGGCTGCAGGCTTTGCTGAGACAGGCGACGTGGGAGGTGCCTTTCTGCCTTGCTCGCAGCCGGCTGAGCAGCACTCGAGTCCTGGCGCGATTAAGCTTGGAGGTGACCGAGAGACGGGCGTGTAGGAGGGGCAGGATGCGGGGCGGGTTCCCATGGCCCGCACTGGGGGAGGCCGCTGCGAGCCGGGCAGGCCTGTTGGAAGGCGGCCGGCAACAGTGCCCGCTCGCTGCCCCCAAGCAGGTGTCCCTGGAGTCGAACTCGTCCATGGCGTCCAGCGCCCCGCTCGTCCGGATCACCCGCCTCTCCTCGAGCGACGGGCCGGTGCTGGCCAACGTCTTGGAGCTGGAGCTGCCTGCGGACCCCAAGTGGGAGCTGCCCCGGTCCCGGTGAGCATGCGCGGCGCAGGGGAGCGTGCGCTGCTGCGTCGGGGCCCCGCTGACGCCCTGCGTGCGCCTTTCGTTCCAGCTTGACTCTGGGGAAGCCCCTGGGGGAGGGCTGCTTCGGCCAGGTCGTGATGGCGGAGGCGATGGGGATCGACAAGGACAAGCCCAGCAGGCCCGTCACGGTCGCGGTCAAGATGCTGAAAGGTACCTGGCGCGGACCGGCCGGAGACGGGCGTCCAGGGCCTGGGTGCTCTGCACAGCCCCCCCCACGTGGCGGCTGCCTCCCGCTGCCCTGCCCCGTCCCTCGGGCCTCCCCTCCCAGTGGCGCCCGGCCCCTCCTCCATGCTTCCCGTCTCACTTCTGGGTGTCCTTCGCCTTTGGCCTCTCATCTTCAGGCTGCCAAAGGGGCTGGGGGGGGGGCATGAGTGGGGGAGGGGCGGGGAGCTGGAGGTGGCTGCCCCATGTGGCTCCGGGGGGCCAGCGGGAGGGGGCCTCATGCCCGGCCAGGCACCTTGCGGCCGAGGCCCCCGAGAGTCTGGCGTGCCGGCAGCAGCTCAAGGGCAGCAGCAGTGGCCGGCCGGCATGTGGAGCAAACCTATTGTTCCTGCTCCCGCTTTTGCACATTCCGTAGATGATGCCACAGACAAGGATCTCTCTGACTTGGTCTCGGAAATGGAGATGATGAAGATGATCGGGAAGCACAGGAATATCCTCAATCTGCTGGGCGCGTGCACCCAGGACGGTATGTCCAGCGAGTGCGCAGAGGCGGTCCCAGAGGCCCCAGGGCTGAGCTTGCCAGATTGCACCCCTCCCCACATAGGGAATGAGACCAGGGCTGCACCCCGCAACTGAGAGCTGCCCTAAAAGCCGGGGGGGGGGGGCAGATGTTAGTAAAACTGGTTGTGCGCATGGGGAGGGGGAGGCGGGTAAAGAGACCTGCAGCTTGGGTGCCTCCGATCCCCACAAGCGCCATTGCCCAGAGAAGAGGACCTCTCCCAGTGGTACATGATTTTCCGTCGCGGGACAAGCTGTCTCCTGGGCTCGCATCTGTTTTCTGCCTTCTGAAATTGCACAGCATTTGCCTCTATTTAAGGTGTTAAAGTTGGTACATGCTGTGCAGTCATCTCCATCCCGGGGCGCATAGTTCGGAGGGGAGGGCACCGCCAAACGGAGGCAGGCTCCCCCACCACACCTGGGTGGGGGCTGGCAGCCCCGAGTGCCCTGCACAGATGTGCTTGCCCGTTTTCCAGGGCCCCTCTACGTTCTGGTGGAATACGCGTCGAAGGGGAACTTGCGGGAGTACCTGCGAGCCCGCCGGCCGCCCGGCATGGATTACTCCTTTGACACCTGCAAACTGCCGGAGGAGCAGTTGACCTTCAAGGACTTCGTGTCCGCTGCCTACCAGGTGGCCCGCGGAATGGAGTACCTGGCGTCGCAGAAGGTGCGTGGCCCGCAGCAGGTGCCCTCTCCTGGCGCCGGGCCTTGATGGGGGCCAGGAGGGAGACGGCCCGGAGGGCTGCTCAGTGGGGCCTGCAGGTTGCCTCGGAGCCAGGAGGGGTCGTTTAGTGGTGGGCTTCCCATCGCGGGCTGGCCTTGCACGGTGGCGTCGCTGGCAGGCCCTGCGTCCAGGTGGGCGTCTGAGCCCAGCTCCGCTCTCCACGGCCTTGGCCCCCGATGGCAGCTGGGGGGCACAGAGGGGAGCTGAAGGGCCAGCCGGGAGCTCTGCGTGCGATGGCCACCCCAGCGCCCTCTGCGGGGCGAGGCAGCCCGGCCCGCCCCCCGCCGCCCCTGCTCTTGCCGGAGGTGCCAGCTCTCCTGAAGATGACCAGTCTTCCTGCCACCCCCTCGCAGTGCATCCACCGGGACTTGGCGGCAAGGAACGTTTTGGTCACGGAAGACAATGTGATGAAGATTGCGGACTTCGGTCTCGCCAGGGATGTCCACAACATCGACTATTACAAGAAGACGACCAACGTGAGTGGGGAGCCCCCGGGTCTGGTGGCAGCCACCTCAGTGGCTCCCGGCATTCGGCGCCTGCCTCGTACTCCTCGCAGACGCTGGGCTGCCTGCGAGGGCTCTGGCTGTGCCGGCCGGCGTGCCGCTTCTGCTCGCAGGGCGAGAGCTCGGGTGGCCGCTCTTGGCGCAGGCTGGGGGTACCGCCCAGCCTGGCGTCTCCTCACAGTCTGGACTGGGAGGGAGCACCCCGAGCTGGCTCTCGGAGGGGCCCAGCAAGACTCACGGCATCTCTTGTTCTGGCCTTTCCTGCCTTGCTTCCACCAAAGCGGCTCTGAGGCAAAGCTGAAAGCCAAAACGTCGTGGGAACAGGGGCTGCTGTGAGGCTTCCGGGGCCCTTGCTTCCAACGGGCTCGTTCTGTCTGCACTGCGACTCGCTCAGCGCCCTGTGTGGAGAGGGGGTGCAGAGGACCCGTTGTTCTCTCCAGTGGGGGGGGGGGTGCCAGGCATGCCTCTCCCCCCAGGACTTCTGGCGTGGCAGTGCGCCGCCTTCCCTGGGGGCTGGGAAGAGCCACGGGCTTCCTCATGGGGCGAGTGCCGTCTGTGCCGGGCCCCTGCAGGGGCTGGACTTCGGGCTCAGCCTTGGTCCTCCGCCTGCTCCCGGCCGGCAGTTCCAGTGGCACGTGGCGCAGGCCAGGGCCATGGGGAAGCAGGGGGTTTTCCGCAGGCTCCCATTTCACACACATCATCCGGCCCAGTGCTGCTCACACCCCAAGCATTTGGGCGTGTGAGGAAGCTAAGCAGAAAGCAGTAGACCCTAGAGATGCTCCCGAGAGCTGCTGCTCCTCCCTGGCCGCCTTCTCAGCAGAGAGGGATGGAGAGGAAGAGAAGCGCTGGGCCGAGGGAGGGGGCAAGAGCAGGTGGAGGCGACAGGTGGAAAGGGGCAGCGTGGAGAGCCTGGGAAACAGCGCGGTGAGATTGGCCTCCCCTTGGCTGGTGGCTTCAGCGCCTCTTCCGGGAAGGCGTTCGGCCGAGAGGCTGGCAGTGGCTTGGGGGAGCACGGGGGTGGTCTGTCCAAGATCCTCACCTTGACCCCCGGCAAACCCATCTGTGGGACGGGGTCACTGACAGACGTTTTGGAAGGTGGATCAGGTGGTGCCAGGTTGGCGGCGTGGAAGTGCTGACAAATATTTCCCTTTTATCTCCATAATTACAGGGTCGGCTGCCTGTGAAATGGATGGCTCCAGAGGCATTGTTTGACCGGGTGTACACTCATCAAAGCGATGTGTAAGCATTGTCCCCAGCTCAAGCGATGAAAGGGGACAAGCAAAACAGGCATGGGAATGGCTGCCAGCCCGGCAGAAAAGGGGTTGTGCCATCCGGGGCAACTATGCGTGCGGAATGTGTCGAGGGCTTCACAAAGGGTGGGGAGGGGCGCTGATATCGGGGATGATGGGTGCCTGGGACCTCGCCAAGCCCAGTCCGCAGGGATCAGCAAGTGCTTGGCCAAAAAACCCAAACAAGGCCCAGGAAATTAGTCACGCTGCAGGGGACTTCTCGGGCTTCACAGGAGTGAGAGTGAATCCGCTGGTCCCGTCGTTCCCCGAGCGCCCGCGCACTGTAGCCCTTTCCTCCCCAGGTGGTCCTTTGGAGTGCTGCTGTGGGAGATCTTCACCCTGGGGGGGTCCCCGTACCCAGGAGTGCCTGTGGAGGAGCTCTTCAAGCTCCTGCGGGAGGGGCACCGCATGGACAAGCCTGCCAACTGCACCCATGACCTGTGAGTGCTCGGTGTGGGGAGGGCCCCCATCCCCGCCAGTCCCAGGGGCTGGCTCGCCACGGGAGCGCTCCATGGCCCACCTCCGCCGCGGTTGCCACTGCTTCCACGAGGCACCCCCAGCCGGAGGCGGGAGCCGATCTGCCCACCCCCAGGCCTCCTCCGCCCTGCCGGTGGCGCACACACCTCTGGTGCTCAGCCGCTCTGCTCCGCCGGGAGCCCTTCCTGCGGCGGAGCGTGACCCGCATACTGTGCCATCTCGCCTCCGCCTCCAGGTACATGATCATGCGCGAGTGCTGGCACGCGGTCCCTTCGCAGAGGCCCACCTTCAAGCAGCTGGTGGAGGACCTGGACCGAGTCCTTGCAGTGACGACCACGGACGTGAGTCCCCCGCCTCCCCCTGGCCGCCAGGGTGGGCAGCCGTGCCACGGCCTGCGCGCTCGAACCCGTGGGCCGGGGAGGGGCCCCGGAGTGGCCTCCAGATGCTGCTGGACTGCAGCACCCATCAGCCCTCGCCGGCACCATCCGGTGTCACCCTGTATCAACTGGCCGGCTGCCTGGGGTCCCCACCCCACCCCACCCTCACGAAGCCATGTGCCTGAGATGCTGGCCCCGAGCACAGAGCAGGCCTGCCCCGGCCCTCCCCGCCCAGAACCCTTTTCTCTGCTGCTTGCTTGCTTGGTGGTGTGAAATATCGTTCCAAACTTGCTTTGAAGTGGTGTTTCAAAAGTGTGCAATGTAATTAAAAACACACAGCAGAGGACCTCTGACAATAAAGGAGAGAGCCCTCGAAAGACATTCCAAGCAAAGGCAGCAGTCAGAAATGGGGGCGGGAGGGGTGCAGCAGCTGTGAAGCATCCTAGAAGGGTCAGGAGCACAGCGAACCGCTGGCGTGCGCATGCTCTTGCTGCATTCAGGAGTCGTGACAGGTGTGGAGCGCATGGCAGAGGGAAGGTGCCCCCAAGTCAAGGCGCCCTTGCTGGAGAGGCACGGCCTCCTCGCCTCCACGGGAGAGGTGGGCTTCTGGCGTGCGCAGCTGTGCTGCGTCCGCAACAGGCCAGCGGTGGGCCTTGTCCCAGAACACGCCACTGCTCTTCCCTGGGCCACATCACCGCGATGCTCGGCTCTTCCTGCCCACTCACGGCCAGGACATGGGCTGTCCGTGTCTCGCCCGCCTGGAAAGAGGGCTGTGGAAGCGTGTGTGGCTCGCTCACTCGGTGGCTCGTTCCCCCTCCAGGAATACCTGGACCTCTCAGTGCCTTTCGAGCAATACTCCCCGGCCGGCCAGGACACCCCGAGCACCTGCTCTTCGGGCTCCGACTCCGTCTTCGCGCACGACCTGCCCTCCGACGAGCCCTGCCTTCCGAGCCAGCGAGCTGCCAGCGCCGCCAGGACGTGACGGGGCCGGACACATGTTCGGGAGGGGCGAGGGCGGGTGCCCGGGGCCGGGGAGCTGCGCACCCCACACGCGCCCGCCCCACGTGGGGCGCGCCAAAGGCTGAACCTAGCGTGGCCGTGGCACCAAGCCACCCTGGGCGCCCCGGAGGCGTGGGGCAGAGGGCCCGGCCACCGCTCCAAGCCGCTGGGCGGGGGGCCGGGGGGTGAGAGGACTTTCCCTGCCGTGTTGGATGACACGTTTACACAAAATACTGTAGCGGCTCCTTTCGGAAGACAAACTGCACCTGAGTCCTTGCAGCGAGCACAAAAGCCACGTGGCCGGCAGGAGTTCATGCGCATGTAAATACCTTCGGAAATACATATGCTTGTCTTCTGCTTCGGAGGAATTTTAAAGCCATTCTGAAGAGTTAGTTGCCCTCTCAAAAACAGCTCTCTTGCCACGGGGCAGCGGGGTGTCCTTTGCCCCCCGTGGGAACACAGGCGGGGCGGGAAGGCCAGGAGGGCTGGGGCGCCGCAAGTGGCAGGAGATGGGGTATGTGCCTGGGGGCCCCGCTTCCTGCACAAGCCCCACTGTGTTTAAACTGTTCTCTGTTTTCCGGGAGAGTGCTTAAAACCCCGCAAAAGCCCAAACCCCAGCCTTGCTGTTCCTGCATTAGTTTACTGATTTTTCACTGGGTTAAAAACTGCGGATTGGGACCTAGGAGTCCTTGCAATGCATCGCTACCACCTTGTGCCAGAAATCCAGCAGCTTTGTTGGTTTTCTTTTCTTTTCTTTTTTCTTTTCTTTTCTTTTCTTTTCTTTTTTTTTTCTTTTTTTTTTTTTTTGGCAAATGCTTCCAGAAAATAATTACGGGTACCTGTAGGCAAGCGCCTTTTAATGTATCAAAAAGTTCTATTTACTAGAATTGTCTGTCTGTCCATCGATGGATCTATCTGTATATATGAGTCTAAAATATTAATACAGCCAAAAGCAAGACTGAAAGAGAATGTCTCCATTTAAGATTCCTGATCCAGGATATACTGATTTAGGCCAAGAGATTTTCTTTATCTTGCCTGGTTTCTTGTTTTGTTCGTTCTGTTTAAAAAAAATATCGTAACATCATGTATATTTGTAAAATTATTTATAGATATTAACATATCTGTTCATTGATTTAAATACTTTAGCATTAATGTATACATATAGTGTTCACCAGATTTGAAGTTTTAACTTATTGAAAGTATGGGAAAATAAATTAATCAAGATTCTCTTCTAATTTTATGCGAAATATAAGACTGTACTGTTGTCCAGTCATTTAACAAATTGCTTTTAATACTTTTTTGACAAAGCTTTTTTCCTGGATTTATGTAGTCTGTGATACATTAGTGCTAAGCTCCAAGCAGCCAATGGCTGGGCTTATTTTTATTTCTGTGGAAGAGCCAAGAAACCTCGTGTCGGGCTGCCGCTGCGTGTGAAGTGGGGAGTGAGCGCTTCCCCATGTTTGAGTGAAGGTATTCTTCACCGCTGATTTAATAACAAGCAAGCAGCAGAACTGAATGCTGACTGAAAACAATTGTGTTTTGAGTTTTCTTACCGGTCCTGTTTGCCTTTTCATGTTAGAGAAATGAGGACAAAATAAAGTAATATTTAAATTATATGCGAGGAGAGTTTTCATAATCACATCCTCTTTGGGCCTAACATTTGGTTTGGGGAAATGCCAGGTTTTGTACGTTGCCAGGTGGTCTGGACAAGCCTTGTGAAGCACCCAAAACAATTAGGAAAACTAAAGAACGGAGTAAGATAGAGAGACTCGCCTCCCTCTTCAGATCAGGTCTTGTCCAAGTGCCGGGATGACCCCCGTTCCAGGGTGGAATTCCTCTGGAAGCACAAGGATTTATTTCTTTCCCCAAAAGGGCTAATTTATAAATCTGAAGTTTCAAAGAATGTTTTTTTAAGAGGTTCATCTAGAGAGCTACTTTTTTGAAATAAACTGGTTTTTTTTCCTTATCATGTATGCCAGCTTTACATATATCCCACGAAAATGAAAAGTCACTGGGCCAGTCTGGAGCAAAGTGCGGATGTTTGCCTCAGTTCATTAATTATGATAAATATACATTCATATACATACATGTAAGTACTGATTTTTTTCAAAAAAGGATGTATCTGTGGTATGATTGTTCGTTAACATTTCCTGGTCGGTTTATTCAGTCCTATGCACTTTTACAGCCAGAACCCTCAAAGGGTTCCCCTTTCTTCCCATCTTCTTCCTGCTGAGGTTGCAAGCGGTGTGTTTACGTATCTTGAGATTTCGCTGGGCGAACGAATGCACGGTCCCAGTCCCGCTCTCGGTTCACTTGGCAGCTGCTGCTGTGCCAAGTGGCTTGCCTGGCCCTACAAGCAGCTGGAGAAGGGGATGCTGGATGCGGCCTCGCCTTTCACCACATTCCCGCCTTTTAAGAGTCCTTTTCGGAGGAAGCCCGACCCTGACTGGGGCCGCTCTCCAGGTCATCAGGCCGCAGAGGGATGCTGCAGAGCAGCGCACACCCGTGCCATGCATGAGGCACAGGCCTCCTCCCACAGGGAGAGCCGTGGGGGGGGCAGATGTTGTGGAGCCTGCCGAGGGCCCTGCTCCAGGCGGGGCTCCCCGTCCAGCCTGCAGCCCCCTGACTGCCAGGCAGGCTGTGCTGGCACCTGCCCTTCTGCGCACCACCCAGGATGGGGGCCCCATGCCGAGAAAAGTCGGGAGAAGCCTTGGAGGACAGCAACATCACGAAATGGCCCCGCAACCTTTCGGGAGTGAGGGAGCAAAGGCACCCGAGAGAGAGCTCACCGAGAGAAAGTCCTAAAGCAGAGAAAGGGCTCAGGCACATCCCTGGAAGAGGCCCATGAGAAGGGTGCTTCTCGCCTTCACAACGGACATGGCGCTCGGGGCAGGGTCACTGGGCGGGCAGGGCAAGGCACCCAGCATGATGCCAGATGCGGCCAGGGCAGGCAAGCGCAGGAGCCAAGACAGCTTGCAGGTGGACCTGCGCTGCTAAGGCAGCAGGATGCAAGCAGGGAGGCAGGACAAAGGCCCGGCAAGAGGTGGGCGCATCTGCAGCACGCGCAGCGAGATGCATCTCGGTCCCAGCACAGGCCGGCACACGAGCCGACTGAGGCTGCTTTCATGCCAAAGCAGGCCTGGACCCCGACTGAGCCGGGCCCAGATAAGCTGCCTCGTCCCAGAGTGCCTGGAGCCGGTGGGCAGCCCTGTCAAGACCCTCACCCAGGAAAGGGGCATTGCTGCCAGCCTGACCCTACCAAGGCCTTCCAGGTCAAGGGAGACTTTCTTCAGAACCTGCTCAGATGAAGCAGCTGCTCCGTGCTGGCCACTCCCAGCCACCCATGCTTCCCTCCACTTCTTCTGCCTGTCCTCCTTCCGTTCAAGAAAAAAGTTAGCACGCCTGACTGACGCTTGCTAGATGCTCCGGTTCCTCCATCTTTAGCACCCCAGCTGTTCTTCAGGAAAAGGTCTGCAGAGCCCTGCTAACCCCATCCAGGTACCGCCAACAGCTCATTGCCAACAAACCAAAACAAAATTAAGCACCCGGACTGTCAAATACCTGCACAACAACCCCACACTTATCCAACGCTAATCTCTCCGCCTTGTCCTTTAATATGGAATACTTGTAAAAGTATATGAGGCATTCCATGCTATTTACTATTTAATTTGCATCAGAATAATAAACACTTTCCCTTTGATATAGATGCTGGGGTGTTTGCATTTACCATACAACACATCGCCAGAATCTTTGCTTTTTAATTATTCGCTCTCATCCTGATGGGGCTTGCATTCTAGCATCTTCCGCCGTTCTGGCAAAAAGGAGTATCAGAATTAGATTGTTCAAGGCATGTTGCCTCTTGCCTCACATGTGCTGAGGAAATATCAAAGTTCCACTCCCAGTTATTTTAAGGGATCAAAAATAAGTTTGGGAAGGTAGAACCCACATTAAAAGAGAACCCCACCCTTTGAATCCTTGCCCAATTAAAGCATGAAATTGCCTAGGGGTTCCCAAATAGTTACGAAATAGCGCACGGCTCACATGGGCTGGCTGCACAGAACATCAGAACAAAGGTTGGAGAAACCAGTGAGCAGAAACTGGAATTCTTTCCACTCTGTTGGTGGGCACGAAAACATCCAGCCAACCGACCTTGCTTGCGTTCGGCTTTGCTTGCTGACTTCTCCCTTGCTGAACATTCACACGGCACCGTGCTGTTGATCCATCATCGCAAGTGTGTTCACAGTTGTCCCTAGTTGGGAACCATAAGCTGAGGTGGCTGAATCAGGCAGCGCTGGTTTGGCTTTGTTTTCCACTTCTTCCAGGCTTAAGCTTGGACCAGCCTGAACCTTGAGGATTTGCACGAAAGCATGCAAAGCTTTCTCTGTGTCTTCCCCTAACACACTCACTTCTGAATGCAGTCTTGCCTTACAGACTCAGGGTTTGTGATGTCCCTAAAGTGATGCATTTTGAGTTCCATTTCGCCTAACAGGCACCTCTTTGTCGGCAGGGCAGGGCACGTGGGCAGTTAGAGCGCGTTTCCGTCTGAGCGTGCCAAGGATCGCAGCCTTGCTGACTCCAGCTCTTGGCTGACATACTGGCTCTTGCTTGACTGCTCTGGGCAGAGACCCCCTCGGGAGCATGTCCTTCCGCAGCACGCCAGACTTGTGCATCACCGGTAGCTCTCTGAGAACCAGCTCTCCTCTCACGTTGCCGTGATGCCCCTCCTTCGCTTTTTCCCTGGGGACGGGGCTAAGTGGCTATTTGAAAGGTGACATCTCCAGGCTGGGGAGCAAACAGAGAGCCAGCTCCACCAAGCTCTGGGGAGGGACTGCGAAGACACCCCACTTCCAAGATGAGGATGCCATCCTAGAGGAGAGGGCAACTTCTCCAAGACGGCCTCAGGACAGTGGCCAAAATGCCCGTCAGGCAACAGCTGGCCGGTTATCCAGCCCGGACAGGATCCAGGGGAAGGTGGCCTGCTGCTACAGGGGGCTCGGTGTGTGGGAAGAATTCACCTGATCTCAAAGACACACCTGAGGAGCTTGCATGTTCAGGAGAGGCTCCATGGACCACGCTGTAGGAGATCTGCAGACCCTCCCAGAAAAGGATTCTCCTGAGAGTCTGTCTGAGGGCCCGAGGCAGGTCAGAGGTGTGTGGCACTCCAAGGAGCGGAGGAGCGGAGCAGAGCTGCCCATCCGGCACAGTGCCCTGGGAGCTGGCCAGCGCGGTGGCACAGACAGGGCCCGGCGCACCCTCAGAGGTTCTGACTGCTCCCAGATTCACCACCAGCAGCCTGAAATCCAGCTCAGCCGCCGGGTCCTGGTTTGGTAAAGCCCCAGACCACCCACACCCCTGCCAGGCAAGCACCAGCACTCTGGAGAGCAGCCGGGGGAATCCCTCTGATGGGGAAATATTTTGGGAAAGTCCGCTGTTCCACACACGCCAAAGCACGGCTGTGTTGGGTGGGTGGGAGCTGCACGCGTGCTCCTAGGAAAGCCCATGGCCAAGCTCGCACCCTGGGCAGGCGCGCCGATCCCCCCGCAGTCACTCTGCCACAACTGCAAGGCAGACACGTCCTGCGATTTCCCCCTCCCAGAGTGCTGGCCAACTGCAGCCACAACAAAGGAGAGTTTTGTGGCGCTTAAAGGCGAACAAGGATGCTTGTGCCAAAATAAGTCTGCAAGTCTGGAAGGATGCGTCTTTCTTGCGCTGTCTTTGCAAACCTTCAGAGGATCCCACTGCAAAGCACCCAGAGGTCTGACTCGTGGTGCATAAATTCTGCCCGGTCACCACAGGGCACACCTCAGCGGAGCGGCATCAGCGGATCTGGGTGCAGGTCCACAGGGAGTCTGACCCATACGGGTATCCCCAGCAAAGGCAGCCCACCCGCCAGCACAAGGGGCCGCACGCATGCCCAGCCGCCCCTCGCTCCAGTGCAGCCTGGCTTGCGGGCCGCCTCCCCTTGCCCAGCGCTGCACCTCCCTCTTCCCTGGCGGGGAACACTGGCCGCGCACGCATGTGCCAGGCTCCTGGCTGCTGGGTGGGCCTGGACCAGCGCCACAGGCAGCGACCTCCCTGCGAACGGAGGCCGGGCATCCCGCAGGCCCCACGGCTCTGGGGGCCAGCTCCCTCCCCGCGCCCCGCTGGCTGCTCCGGCCCGAGGTTGCCCACGGCCGCCCGTTGTTCACCTGCTCACAATTCGCAGAGGGAGCTTGGCGCCACTCGGGCCCGGATGCCCGTGCCTCTGGCCCGTGCCCGGTGCGCGGCTAGACGGCCGCCAGCTCTGGCGGTGCCGGCGCGCCATCTAGCGGCCGGAGCGGCCAGGTGCGCGGCTTTCTCGGGACGGATCGGGCTGCCCGCGGAGGTGGATCGGGTCACCGGGATCCCTCGCCTTTGATCTGCTGCAGCCTAGGCGGGCCGCCGGTGCGGTGGGCAGCTCCTGGCGCCTTCACTGGGGAGGGGCCTCCCCTCCGGTCGGCGTGGGACCCGCGAACAGGGGCGCCCCCACCAGCGCACGGGGAGATGCCCAGGGGCCCCCTGGCTGGGGGGGGGGGCGCTTGCCTGGGGAGGAGGCAGAGGTGCGCAGGCCTGAAGCAGCAGCCAGGCTGGGGAAAGCAGGCAAGTCTGGTGGGGGAGCGGGGCCGTCCGTGTGGTTTAAAACGAGTGTTTTAGTTTAGAAATCAAGGCAGCACTGGTGCAAGGATGAACTGGGCTTACCTGCTTGTTTCCAAGGGCACTTTTTCCTGGAAAATTGACTAATTTGGATTGATATTTAGATTTAAGACAGGGTACTGTGCTATCCAGTCTATATGCCAAAAATATAATCTCATAAAGGAAGTCCTTTTTATTAGACTAGAGATGTACGTTTTCTGGACATCTGGAAGCTACATGGGCGAAGGGGGTTCTTTATTCTCTCTGCAAAAGTTCTCAGCTTCAGTGTGTTTCCCACTCCCTATGAAACGACTTGATCTGATGTACCTCTTATCAGTTGGCATTTTGGGATGCTCCAGGTCATGGGTCCATCTCCCCACAGGCGAGTGGAATCACTGTACCTAGACAGGTGAAGGTGTGCTCAACGGGCTGTTATGCAATGGGATGTTTCTTTAAAAAGACATCTTGGAAGCTCTGGTCTATGTAACTCACTGCTCACCACCAGTTTGACAGCTCCTATTAAACCGTCCCATTATAATTAATACATTCTTATAATTCAATTGTGTAGATTTCCTTCTGATTGGGCACCGAACACGAATGTAAAATGTGTTACTTGATTTGCTAATAAAACATAATATGAATTTGAGCTTAATTTTGAACTCAATAATTTTCTGAGCAAAGCAGGTTATATATATATATATTTTTGTTCTGAAAGCACCCACTTAACTTTTGATTTGGAAAGAGTGCTTAAAAGTATTGCATATTTTATATGCAATCCCGCCCCCTGAGATCTGCGGGAGAGGCCCTTCTCCGGGAACCCTCCATGAAGGAAATTAGGAGGGTGAGTACTCGGAGGAGGGCTTTCTCTGCGGTGGCGCACAATCTATGGAATGCGCTCCCCAGAGAGGTCCGCCTGGCGCCGTTGTTGTTTTTCGGCGCCAGGCGAAGACCTTTTTATTCAAACGTCATTTTAACTGTTAATAGTATTTATTTTTTTTTATTCTTTGGCCAGGGCGACTTATTTTATATTGTTAATTTATTTTTTACTGTTAATTTATATTATTTTAATTGATTTATGCTGTGAGCCGCCCCGAAGCTTTGGTGAATGGGGCGGCATAGAAATTTTCTAAATAAATAAATAAATAAATAAATATTTTTCAGCCCTCCCCTACCCTGCCATGGTTTCAAAATGTCTGGAAACATTTTCCCCCTCTGAACATATGCATTACTGAACTTAATCTATGCTCTGGGATTCCAATTTGGCAAGGTAAAGGAAGCCTGTTTGCTTAAAAATATGGCACACTAAAAATATATTGTACTCCTAAACACTTAATGGAACCAGGATCTGTTTGAAACATTTGCAGAAGCCCCATAGAATCAAAACAAAAGGATGTATTGCAAGGAACACGTGTTTATTTTTTTATGGCTAAACAGCTTCAGCCAATATAGTGGAATGCAAGTGTAAAACATAAAATAAGTTAAATTCAAAATGCATCATACTGAGCCAGTCTGAAAATAAAGTGCAATGTGCATTCCAATCTAAGAAGTACACCAGGGTTGCGTGATTTCCTTTGTGCTTATCAGTAATTTGTGTTGAAAGACTGAAAATTATTTGTTAAGCTATTTGTTAATATGTAAATTAACAATGCACTATCTCAGAGAGGAAAATGCTCCAAGATATTATGACTTCTAATTTTTCCCTATTCAGTGATACTAAAATTTAAGCATGCTTTCAACAGCATCTCGTTGGATGATTAAAATCACCAATACTTGCACTTGACTTCACACATGTACCAGTTAAATCTAGAGTTGCAACAAGCAGACCTAGCCGTAATAAATTCAACAAAGCTGTAATAAATTCAGGCTGGAATAAAACAACATTAACACGAAGAAGCCAAATGCCTAGAAAACACCCAAAACTTTATTTCGCAGCACATCAAGCCACGGTTTAGACCACAGTCAAGAACAGGTTTTGTCCAGCTTATTATATGCACCCAAACATCTTGTTCTTAAATAATCAAAAAGTTTAAAAGGTGGGGTAAGCTATACTTTTATTGACTCATGTTTTATGCAACAACATAACCTTAGGCAGATACAAAGATTTTACATACGAGGAAACACGCACAAAACCGCCAGCTTTTCATTTTTATGTTTAAATACACATTGACATTGTACTACTCATGATGGTACAATCTCTTTCCAAATGGAATAAAACTCCATTCCGGAAAAAGTAACGCATAGTGGTCGTTATAATCCCCACCGTCCACATGAAATTTCTTGACTACTCTGGTGCCAGCCAGCCTGGTCCCGAGACTCGGTGCTAGTGGACTCATCAGCAGGGATGCGGCGCTCCAGACTATCTGTGGCACGGATCCCGGCCCTCGAGATCAGTCTCCAGGAGGAGGCCGAGCCAGCTTCCCGGGATGGCATGTCCTTGCCCGGGTCTGAGTCCTCCTTCCCTCGACCAGGGCTTTAGCTCTCCCCTCCACTTCCAAGCACTCTAGGGGATGATGTTAGGAAACTGCATTTTTCATATTCCTGTTCAGGGGTTTGCATGCATGGGCACAGAGTCTTTCTGGAGATGCTTCTAAGGGGTTTGAGGGAGCTTTCCCCTGAATGATAGGCCATGGAGTGCAAGAGGCTTTCCCCAAGTAACGCCAGCATAATTCACTGTCTGTCCATACAAGGCCACCGCAGTGCAACTGAGCTTTTCCTCCTTACACATGTCCAAGTTTTAGGGTTTATAACCTGGCGCTTTCCAGTCACAATCCCTACTGCATAATCCCCGGGGGAGCAGGGAAGGGGGCAATACATGTGCCCAAGCCACAAGAAGAGTACGCAGAGTTAGAACACACGGCTTAAAAGCCGAGATCATCACTCCTTCCAGTCCCTCAAAGGTCTCCGGAACACAGAGCGCATGTGCTGACTTTGCACGCCCATGCCCAAGCCGTCCTGAGCGAGAAACCAGGCTTGTGTCAGGCGGTCAATTTCAAAGTGCTGGACCAGCCCAACTGCAAAGTCAGGAGAAATCCGCTCCTCCAGACCCTCTCGGATGGCATCAGTCGATCAAAACTTAAGCATAAAAATAGTTAGCAGTCAGCCGCCAGTGTCCTTTCTGCATCACAGAAATAGATACAGGAAAGTCAGGTAACATGAATGCTTCTTCTTTGGACTCAAGTCAGTCCATAATACTACGGTTAATAGAATTTGCAACAAAAATTAACCTGGATTTTACAAAAATCAGCTTCTCACAATTAAGCATCACTGATCTCAGAGTAACTTCCTTCCTGGGATATGGACCTGAAAATGCCCTTGGCATTACTGGAAGTTTAAGGGGAAGCCCGTATCAAAGCTCGGCTACCCAGCCTGTGTTGACGTCCCAGATACTGTTACATAATAGGGAACACACAGCAGAAAGAATCAAACAAAAATGAGAACTAAACATTGAGTGATGACTTTTATCAGATTTTACCAATCCTGCAGCAAGTAAAGCAATGAAAAGGTTTACATGATGTTTCCACTTTACTGGGTGGGGTCACACTCAAAATAAAATTTAAGCGATTGGAAACATCCATTACATTATGAGCAGCATTCAGGTACAGAGAAAAAATGGTTTCCAGAGTGTCAAATTAACAAGATAAATCAAGTGTCGGTTTTCCTTTCCAGAAATTCAACATGTGATTTAGATGCCAGTTCAGAGCTACATTTTGAAACCTTTGCAGATTCAATTCTTCCATGCTTTAATTCCATAAATGCAGTTGACTTTGCCAAAGGGCAATTCTCAGCCTAAAAGGGCAACCTTCAGGGAAGCCGCTGGTAATGAACACATTGCTGCTGAAGGAAATACCAACCTTAGGCAGAGGGCCACGGGCTGACAAGGCTCAGAAGCCTCCCAAAGCCCGTCCCTCGGCCGCCCCCCGCCTGCAGATTCCCACGGGCCGCCTTCCAGGTGGAAAGTGGAGGATGGTAAGATGCAGCAGGTACTCGGTGGCCTTTAACATGGCAGACGCGTTTCTAGGAGGCTCGAGCGGCTGCGGAAACGGGTGGAGACCATCGTGATGGCGAGGACCGCGGCCAAGCGAGAAATTGATGTGCGCCTTTCGAAACACCTGTGCTGCGTGCCCTCTTCTTGCTTGCCCACTGATACAGGTTGATACGTCTCATGTTGAGAAACTGTCCAAGCACCAGGACTGCGGGGCTAAAGAGCATCTCTGGATACAACATAGCTCTGTGTATTATGCCAAATAATGACAGCGGTTTCAGAAGTGGTCTGGATAAGTTGCTTTAAAAACTTAATTGATATAAAAATGAGATGGGATTATAGAAATCTTTTTACGTCTCTTTACCAGCAGTTCTGTTGCACAGATGCTTACCACTTTGCCAAGCACGGGAATTCCTAATTTGTGACATGATCTTTAACGAAAGTGTACCAAATCTGTACAGTCCACCAATCGGTGCACTCAGTTCCACAAGGAGGAATATCCTTGAAAGACCGAAGCGATTCTTTCTTTGTGGAATGATACTTGCCTGCGTTTGATCACATAAATCTCTTTCTGCATCTCCAAATAAATATTTTTAATCTTGATTTACCAATCGATCACTGATATTTCTCATCTCACAAACAAGAATTCAGGACTGGAATCAGATGAAAACTAATTCTTCACTTCTGCAGCTTCCTTCTCAGCCTTTTCTTTAATCTTCTCTTTTTCTTCTAGCATTTCTTCCTTTTGCAGCAGTGACATGATTTCTGCTACTTGGTTAGTAGAAATATCAATATCTTCTTTATCGATCAGTTCCACCACCTGTGCAAAGGTAAAAAGCACGTTATGTGCATAAAAAAGCTACCTAACTGCACTTGCTTGGTTCACTCATTTTCTGCATCCTGCAGCAGAGCGGCAGTATCCAGGGCGGCTGTGCTGTGGTGCTCGGGGCACTGTGTGGGGGACAGGCGGGCTGGCTGGCGTGCTGAGGGAAGGCGCAGGGGGCGGCCAGCCGCTCTGGCCAGCGGAGGCTCGCCGACCCTCCCCAAGGAGAAGCGCACTGGGGCAGGCATCATGCCCAGCTGGCTGCCCACCATGCCAGGCAAGCACGTAGTGGGAGCAACGAGAGAGAGAGAGGATGAGAGGGAGAGGGAGAGGGAGGGAGGCGGAGGAAGCAGAGCGACCGGGGCAGCAAGAGCCAGATGCGGGGCGGGGGGGCTGTCGGCATCCCGGCCAAGGCTCTCCGAGCCTGGAGTCAGCACAGATGAGCACGAGCAGAACACCCGTGCTGCACCCCAGCGGCCAAATCCGGGGCTTCCTGCTGGAGCAAGGCCTGATCCACCCGCCGTGGTGCAGCTGGCGTGCCCCAAGCCCGGAGCCCGGGGCTGAGGGGGAGCTCAGCCGGCCGCCAGGGCACCGCAGCGCAGGAGCGAGCACCCACTTTACCCCACGGCACCGTGACTGAAGCGGTGAAAAGATGCCCCAACTGCTTCCCTCAAAGCCAGGCAGGCAAGAACCCAGAGGCAGCACAATGCGGCAGGGCGAGCAGGGCGGAGCTCAGTGTTGGGGGCACGGCCTCCAAGCGGAGAGGCCCACGGCTGCCCAGAGCAGGCTCAGAGGCCCACTGGGCCCGGGGACGAAAGCCGCCCGGCTTCACCGCTGCCCCCGAGCCCATCTCACGATGCCCCGGGGAAACGTTTCCTCAGCCGTGTCCTCTTGGAATCCAAGCTGCTTCTGATACATGCGGCACCAAGGACAAGCCGCTACCCCAATATAAAGAGAATGGCCAACTGATGGTCAAATGTCTGTTCACAAAATCCCGCACGTATCGAAACACGAATGCTTGAAGTAACAGGCGTGAGAAGGTGCACGTTGGCAAAAGCACGGAGCAAAGCCGGCCCCCTCGGCCCTGCAGCCCGGCTCACCTGCACCAGGTCGTCTATATCGATTTTCCCATCCTTATTTTCATCCAGGGCTTCGGCCAGCCGGTTCAGCTTGCTTTCGGGGATCTTCTGGATCTGCTTCATCGCACTGATAAGCTCGCTGATGCTGACGAGACTCTCCCTGAATGGGAAGCACAGCCTGCGTACGGCAATCGGGCACCACAGAGGGCGGCGACCCGCGCAGCCGCCCCGCCCTGCAGCCGTGAGACTGCGCGAGCCACGGCACCGGGCGCCCCCTTCTCCCCACCACCACCAGGCACTGAAAGAGAAGCCGAGGCGGGACAGAGCAGGCCCTTCCGCAGGGTCCGCATGCTCAGAAAGAGGGGGATACAACCCGAACTTCCGGACTCGCTCTCAGGGACTAGGAAAGCACACGGACCGGACCGAACCACGGAGCACGAGATCTCGCCTGCCCGGGGCTGGGCCGCTCTGGAGACTGGCTCTGACGGCGGCTGCTCTCGCCTCGCCCGCTCCGCAACGCCTCCAACGTTTTTACTCGCTGACCAAACAGGCAGGTGGAGGGCAGCTACAAACACGGGGGCCGTTCAGCTCAGAAAAAGGCGAGCGAGGGGAGGCAGGGTGGAGGGTGTGAAACAACGGATGGGGTGGAGAAAGCGGGAGAGAAACGTCTCCCTCCCCCAGGAGACTTGGCCCTGGGGTCACCCCATGGGGCTGGCTGGCGGGAAGTTGAGGGCAGACGGAAGGAAGCGCTTCTCAGCTGCCACAGGGAGTGGGGAGGCCGCCGCCGGAACGGCTTTCAAAGGGGACTGGGCAGGTTCCCCGGGGAGGATGCCGCCCGTGGCTACTAGCCTTGCTGGCCACGTGCTCCCGCTTCACCAGAGAGAGCCTGCCTGGGCCCCCGGGGGCTGAGAAGGTGAGCAGGTTCCTCAGATGGAGGTCTTGCCCCCGACCTCATTGCTAGAGGGACCCCCTGGGCGCCGGGGATGCACTGCACGGGCCTCCGCTCTGCTCCAGCAGGGCTGCCCTCAGGTTCTTATACGAGTGTAGAGCGACAGTGTGAAAATGTTTGCTGCTCGCCGTTGGCGACTGGCCGGCATTTTCACCAAGGGCAGGGAGAGGGCTCTGCTCCGCACTTCTGGACTGGCCTGGTGCTGCGGAAGAACCGTGCGGACGCAAACCCAGGCTCCCCGCTGACCCTCTGGCTGGAGGGACTTGCCCTCCCGGCAGCACAGCACATTGCCACACTGCAGCAGAACCGTCCTGCAGCCCTCCCCCTCCAGCTCCCAGGCCAGCAGGAAATGGACAGCACAGGCAAAGTGGATTTTGATGGTCCATCGCTCCTCAAGAGCAGGATACAAATTAAAACTGAAAAGGAGGGCTGCGACTAGAAAAACTGTGGTTGAAAAGAGATGTTTGCGCATAAGCCCCAGGTGCCTGAAAGTTAGAAGCGAGGATTAAATATGCTTGAGTCTGGAGTGCCCATTCAGCTCAAGGAATTGCGCGTTTCACTCACTCAATCCCTTCCATTTGTCTACGCAGAAAACAAGCCCCCAAAGGAAGCCCCATGCCGCTCTGCCCCGAGGTCAGGCTGCTCGTGCCCGGCCTGGAAAGGACGTGCCCCGTCCTCCGCTGCCCAGCAAGGAACGCCCCTTACCAGGGGCTGCCTGCCCTCCAGAGAAGTCGCTGGCAGGCTGGCTCATCGAGGACCGGCTGTGCAGCCAGGGAGGAATGCTGACCCGCTTCCATCGCATACACGTTGGGCAGATACAGACATTAACTCTACAACCACCTGCGGGAGACTCCCTGCACGCTGAAGCTCCCCTCCCCTCCCCGAGCATTCCCATGGACAGACGCTCCCCATCCACGGCACGGGCACTTACCCGATGGGGGGGCTCTCGTCACGGTGCAGCTGCCCGTCCACCACCTTCTGGTCCGCCTCCAGCTCCCCAAGCAGCCTGTCGATCTGCCCGATCATGCGGTTCACCCGCTTGGTCAGCCTCTTGCTCGCTTTAGATTCTTCAACTATTTCTTCCTCTCCAGCCTTGGACAACTCCTTGATCTCCTGCACATCCTGAGGACCGGGAAGACGGGGATGAGCACCGGCCAGAGCCGGCACTCGTCTCACTGGCTCGGCCAACGCTCGCCCCTTCCTACCTCACTGTACTCTTGCATGTCGTCCTTCAGCTCCTCCAGCTCCTCCTTCTCCTTGGCCAGTGATTTCTTCTGTTCCTTTAATTTAGTGCAAGCGTCGCTCAGCAAATCAATCTCTTCTTTGGTTATTTCTTCGCCCTAAAGCAAAGGGAAAGGAATAGTAGTTACAGGAAGTGAGAATCCCTTCCAGAAAGCAGAGGTTGTTATTCATAGTTTCATCATAGTTCCACAAGAAACCCAAAACATGCCAATAATCGAAGACATGCATAGACAAATGGTGTTACTCTTCGACGCAAGACTTCCCCGCATTCGCTGGAGAGCAGGGGCACGGACATCACAAACCCACGAGAATCGCCTCCGCCCTGAGCCAGATCCGGAAGGGTGGATCGGGAACAGGAAGGCAGTCTCCCAGCAGGCCTGGGCATCGTTCCACGCCCACTACCCAAACTGCAACACATCAGCTATGCCCTGCTTGAGCCCCTTCCCCCCGGCCCCCTTCTGCAGTGCACCCGCTCTTGCTGCTCGTCTGCAACGACCCACGCAGGGCTGACAAGCGATCTGGCCTCTGGGCAGGCCCGGGCATGATACACCCCGTTTTCTGGTCCTGCCATGCTCTTACAAGACTCCACATGCCGTTTCTGTCTGCCACATATTGCCTATCCCACCCAATTTCATGCCTTCTGCAAACCTGACAAGCATTTACTCTCAGTCTTCTTGCAAGTTATTAACAAAAAATATTGAAGAAAGCAGGCACAGGACCAAACTATAGCATCCCACGTGGTATCTCCCTCTGTTTATTTGATTAAGTGACATAAATATTGTAGGAGTGCTTCTGGCTGTCATCTTCCTCTGTATATTTCAAGCAACATTGTCCTGCGGTCTCTAAAGGTATTGTTTTAAAAGAAGCAGAAGGTATTTGCTTTCTGAACTATTAGAAATTGCAATCTTATCACAACTCCTGAGGCAAAGAAATGTTATTGCTGGGTTTGGAGCATCGCTTGGACAAGTGTCAGCAACGGATCAGCTGGGCACACCGCAGAAGTCTGAGAATTCACAGGGAGGGCAGTCGCCTGCTTTACACACAGCCTGCCCGCCTGCCTGCCTGCCCGCCTGCCATCTGGGCCTTAAAGCTTCCATTCCCGGAGACAGAGAAACGGGACGTGTTCCTGACCTTAATGCATAAGCACCACTGCCATGTTTCAAACTTTGCAGCATGAAAACAAGAACAACTAATAAATACACGTCAGGACTGCCAGCTCTTGCCTGCGCACACTGCGCATTCCTGAGCGCTGAGTACGCCACTGGTAGCCAACCTTCCCTTGTCGAGTGTGCCATGAGCCACGCACTGAGCTGCCACCAGCGCTCCGCCAGTGCCGCCCCCACGCGCCCGCCCCTCCTGCTCGGGAGCCCCCCCGGCTTCCCCGCCCATACCCGGAGTTGGCCACCCACGAAGTACGAGACACAAAAAGCTCAAGAAAGGGCAAAGGCCACTGCGGCAACTGCAACCACTGCAGCAGCAAAAAGCTACAGCCGGCACCACCGTGCTGCTAAAGGCAAACTGAGAGCGCACTGCAAAAAGCCACAGAGCTAACAGGTCTACCTAAAACACAGTTCACATGTTCAAACAAAATCTCACAGCTAGTACAGCCTGGATCGTGCATTCAGAAGCAGTGTGACTTCGGCTACTGTGGAAACAGGCGCACGAGCCAGAGGGGCCAGGCCATGTGCTCCCAAGGAGCAGAACAGAGCACCGACGCGAGTGCCCAGCCCTGCCTCCCCGCTCGCCTTCTGTGGGGACGGGGCCTTCCACACAGAAGGACACGGTCCACGTGTCTGCTGGGCTTCTCAGGACGCAGTAGCAGCACATCCTGTCTCCAAACACAGAGGCTTCCTTCTGATTACCTCGCCGCAACCAGGTGCCATCCAGGGGTTTTGGACTTCAGTGCCCAGCACTGCAGAGCACTGGCTATGCTGGCTGGGGATGATGGGAGCTGAAACCTAGAACCTCTGGAAAGAATGCAGGTGGAGGATGCAGCTGCAGAAAGATGGAAAGCAGGATGCAGTTCGAGCAACAGCATGTGGCCTTCCCTTCAACTTGCACAAGGGATCAAACGCCCGAACTGCATCGGGGTATGACTTTTCTCTTTAGAGATATATGGGAAATAATGAATGCTGCTTTTACCATAGAAATGGGCAATTTACTTTTTCTCTTAACTGGTATGAAATGTCAAAAGGAATTTTTAAAAAGTCTCACTTCATTTTAAGGATTTTGAGACTTTGACCACTTCCTTGACCAGTTTCAGCCAGGAAATTTGATCTTTCCACACTCACTGGCCAGTCATCTGCACAAAATATATGCCTGGGTCGTTACAACTACAGACGGTCTCCGAACCCAGAGGTTTCAGTCAAGCTAACAGCTCGTTCTCACATGCACATTTCAAGCAGCTGCCCACCAGTCACCTTAATGCCCTCTAGCACTGGAGCGGTGTCCTTCAGCGTCTCTGAATGCAGGGCCAGATCCACCTTCGCCAGCTCTCGCTCAGCGTCGACCGCCACCTGGCTTTTCTCTAGAGGAGCCGCCGAAGCGCCAATTTCCAGTGTCGATTCCACCTCCTTCTGCAACAAGGTAACAGTAGCACACGAAGCTCGGTCGTTCCATGCCCTTTCCACTGGGCCCTTTGCTGCATTTCTGGAACACCACGCATGCCCACGGGAATGCCGAGGGGTGGCCTTGCTGGATGGGGGGGGGGGTGCCAGCATTTTCCCATCCTCTGGCTGGCCCTTCCACCATCACTGAAAATGCGCACTGAAAATGCGGAAGCACTTTCTCTAGGAGGGGAGCAGCGGCCAAGACTCCAAACGGCCGTTCAGTCATTCCAAAAGGGTAAGCTTCCCATTCCCCAATCTTCTTTTTAAATGGTTTACACACCAATTTTAATTTGAGTACGGCTTAAGTTTCAACACATTGCACTGGTGTAATATCATGCATTCGCTGGCAGAACTTGCCTGGTTGGAAGAAGGCCCTCACAGGCATTCTAGGAAGTGAGGGCCACCGAAGGCCTTGCTGACCACCAGCGTGGCATGCAACCTCTGCCACCCAGAGGAATCTGGAGGCGGGTAAGCCCATTTCCAGTGAGAATTGGGCAAACGCCAGCGCACGCGGGCACCCCTTGACGCTGCCTACCCTCTCAGCAACCTGAAGCGTCTCCTTGGCCCTCTCGGCGGCTTCTGAAAGCCTTTCAAGCTCCTTCTCCTGGTTTTCTTTCCTAATCGCTTCTTCTTCCTGGAGAGTTGCTTCCAGTCGGGCTTTATTGTCAACTTTTCCTCCTTCCACTTCTGCAGCTTTCACTTGAGCTTCTTTGGCCTAAGAAGAAATTTCCATCAATTTCCAGGATTTATGCTACAAGAATGGTAATAAAAATTATAGCAGTGGATCAGCTTGTCTGCTTCTGCACTCTAGAGCATTTCTAGCTTGTTGAACACAAAAGCCACAGGGCAGCTGTTCTAAAAAGAAAAGAAAACCAATTTAGGATAACAAGTACACTGTGAAACAGTGAAGCAGAGGCTCGTGAGAAAGCCTGACTGCATCAAGCTGGCCTTGTGTGCACGACAGAGACCTACTGCCAGCTTTCATCTCCCTCTTTGCACGCCATGCTCAAGACCCCTTCCACAGAGTGGGTATCTTTTTACATGCCAGTGGACATGCTCTCTCTCCCTGCTTCTGCTACCTCACTATCCCATGGCTTATGAAGAGCAATTCATGCACAAAAGCTCATGTAAAAAACAGAATCGAGTTATTAAATTGCCTGAAAGTGCTATTCCTCTTTCTGCTGATTTAAACATTCAGTTTCTGCTCCGGTCGGTGGACTAAATTGGGTCTCAGGCATTGCTCATTATGCAAAAGTGCTGCTTTTGTTTTTCAGTTAGCCCAATTCTGTGCCTGATCAGCCAAGGGCTAACCATGCGGAGTCTTTCTTGATATGGAAATAGAGGCAGAGAAAAAGCTCAGTTGCTCAATTTCTGTCTTCCAGGTGCCGAGGGCAATGCCAAAGATGTTGGCGTTTCTCTGCATGGGAGGGCAGATGGCCGATCATTCAACTCACACGAGCCCTTCTCATTCGGGTTCATTCGGGGGTTGGGAAATACAGTGTCTCAGGGAAACGGAGCGTTCCCAGCAGGCTGCCACGTGCACCGGCCAGCATCACTGAAAAGCCCAGAGGGGAAAAGGTGAGATTTCAAGGTGTCCTCATCGAATTTAGCGAGACATACCACACTTTCAGGGAGTATCTGCAGGGTTGTTTTAAGCTGGTCAGCTGGAGAAAGCGTGTCTGGAAGGTACATGGCTCTGGATAAAATGAGAAGCGACGTCGGGATTTCCTGATTCAGGTGCAAGTCTAGCCACTGCAAAGAAAAGATCGAGCCAGGTGTAAGAATGGGGCCGCTTCCACACTGAGGAGCGCCGTGTCGCCACAGACCTGGCGCCGGCAGGACACAGCGGGCTCCTCAGCAACTGCACAATTCATCTGTGGCTTCACAGCAGGAGAGGGGTGAAGGGAGTTCTCAGAAGACAACCCAAAATAAGAGAAGCCTTGGTCTCAAGGCACCACAAGACTCTGTCATCCCCCCGCCACCGCCCCCAGAAGAGACTTTCTGGCCAGCAATGAGCAGACATGTTGCATATTTATTTAAACAACATCTGAGCTGCCTTTCCAGACCAGCACCTTTTTTACCCTTTCCTAAAACTTTAGGTACTTGGGAAGGCAGAAAAATGCAAGCCACCCCCTTTACAGGAACTGTCAGGTGAGGGGGTTTTTGATGGCCACATTGAGATGCATGCAAACTCGACTCGCCCCACCAAAAAGGGACATCTGAAAAGAAGCTGTCCGGACTCCATGCTCCATGAACAGGCTGCCTCACCCTTTTCTGAGCACCTGATGTCTCGGGAAAAGGTGGAAAAGGTGCGGGGCACTGACAACAGGCAGGTCCAGCCAAAAAGCTACCTGACAGTCCCTTTCAGGAGCGGCCAAGTGTTGAGTTTTTGCTTTTGGACAGCTGTGAAGGAGCACAATGTTCGAAAGCCTCAGCAGCCCCCTGCACGGTGTTGTGGGGGTGATGTTCCTGGCTGGTGGCTGCAGCGCTTTGGCCGCAGACACTTCCGGGACACTGCCCGGCACCTTCCAGGGCTTCCCAGTCTGGGCTGTGGGCTTGGAGCAAGCCCCTCGCCCCTTTCCTGAAGAGCCATAGGCCAGTAACAACTGACGCCCGAGCAGCCCAAGCCACGTGTGCCCAAGAAAGAAAAACGGGGAAAGGGACAGCACCCCAGCGGATGAAAAAGACTCACAGGGGCGGGGGAGACAAGAGCTATCCTCCCCGCATCACCCGTACCTGCTTGAGCTGCTCCCTCAAGCGTTCTTCGGTGACGCCCAGCGCTCTCATCCCCCGGGCGCGGCAGGCTGCCTGCAGCTCTTTCACCGTCAGGCTGTCCACATTTTCCTCGGCTATTAGCTGGACATGACACAACAGCGATATTTATAGCAAAGAGACAGCACCTCAGCCTAAGAATACTGTAATTCTACAAATCTTATGAAGACTCTTCCAGCACCAAATCTGAGCTTAGAGAAACAGTTTGTATATCATCAAAGCACTGTCAACACACGCTGGACTTTAAAAGAGTTTTCCTTAACTTGGAAGTCACCGAAATGCGAACGGCACTATTTGTGATCCCACTAGTCAAGCATCCATCCAAAGAAGTTTGCACTTTAAAAAAAGTCAGCTGGGAAGGCACTCTCTTTCTCGTGCTCTCTCTTGGACTGGGGTTGAAAAAAGCAGAATGAGGCCTCATCCGAAAAGCAGGAGGCCTCATTCGACCCCTTTCGGGGCTCTTCTGAAATTGTGCTAGTTCCACAGGCACGCTCCAAACCCAAAGCACGAGTCCGCAGCCGTTTTCTTTTCTAGAGGGGCATCCTTGGAAATGACAATTCCAGAAGCTTTGCACTTCACTCTGAAGTGTTCCAATGGGGTTTGGTTTTTATTTTGTTTTCATTAAGAATGTCACGGGGGCAGAATGCCAGAAGGGAGAGCCACACAGTGGAGATCCCAGGACTGAAGCACTGCTGGGGCTTAATCTTGTGGGAAAATAATGGAGCGGGGGGAGAAAAGCACATGCATCTACAAAAGTAAGAATGACAAAGAGTAGACAGGAAAAGAATGGTGCACCTCACTCTTTGTTCCTGCCTTTCCTTCTAATCTCAAGGTAGCTAAAAGCATAAGACTCTCAAAATTAGATTCTGGGGTCATCCAATTAAGTTAATTAACAACAGATTCAGAACTGGCAAAAGGAACGGACTTCTTCAAACAATGCAGCTTGCCGAATCCGCTGCCACAGACTATACAATAGGCTACCAGCCTTAAGAAATTCAGTTTTGAGCAATAGACTGCTGATAACCAGATACAACAGCTGAGAGCCATGTCTTCCTTGTGAGCTCTGCGCAGTTTGCCATATAAAGCTAGACTACATTGTCTGACCCCAAAGTGTACCTTCCCATGCCCAACCACAGCTTTCAACATGGCACCTTTAACATCTTCCTCGTTTTCTCACCAGGTTCTTTGATGCCTGCAAAACTCCGATGAAGCGGACAGAGGGGTCCAAGTAAGGACAGCTAACTGAGTTCTATTCTACGGTTTCTATTTGTTTCACAATCGATCTGTTGGCGCCCTTGGAAGACAGCGCAGTCTATTCTACGACAGAAGCTGCCCAAATGAATGGAATTCCTCATCCCACGGAGCAAGTCCTTAAAATAATAATTAAAGAGGCCAACAGAAGCAATTGAAAAATTTGTAACAAGACGGCGTCTTACTTTATCATCTGCTTTGATAGATCGCAACCTCATTATCAGCTGGAAGCGAAGGAAGTTGTTTGTGCCAATTGACTGAAGTTCTAGTAGTTTGCAAAGAGCAACCAGCTGTGGTCTGGTGAGATTATCAAGCGTTAGTTCATCTTCAAACAGTTTAGAGAACTGCAAAATTTCTTCATTGCTTGGTCTTTCACCGGTTTCACGGATCTGAAAGCAGAAAATGCAGAATGCTTTTCACCATGTTTACTTAAAAAATAAGAAATACTAATACATGGGGATAATCCCGCATTTATGATGCCACATTTGTGTATCCTGCGAACAGGTACAAAAGCACAACAGTTTTTAGCTTTTAAAAAAACAACAACAAATAGGAGCACTGCAGTATTCAAAAATGCCAAGAGAGGTGTGAAAGCTGCAGGACAAAAGGTTTCAATGTTCTAAGCCAGCATGTCTGAGACAAAAATGCAAACAGAATTTTCAGTACATAATTACAAGAGGAAATCATTCAGCTAGATTTGGGCACTACTACTATGATTGTGACAGCCAGGTCTATTTGAATTTTCCTATCAAATACAGAGCCAGGTGCAAGATTTTTAAGACAATGGCTGATTAAAGTTAATAAGCTGAAGCTGCATCCAGAAACATACCCCTGGACATGGTTGGTGATCTGCAAGATTTTAATGCAAACTAGTTTAGGCTGCATTGCCTAATTTATAACCGTGTGGCTGTTAGGACCCTTCCAGTCCTAAATGGCTTGAAACCATGCCAGGTCACAGGGGGAGATCTTTTGCTTTTATTTAATGCTTTTAGTGGTCTAGTTTTGCATCAGCTTTTATACAGTATGAATATATTACAACTGTTAGTACCTTTGGGCACCCATTGCAGAAACGCACTGCATAACTTAAATAACAAAGTAATACATGAATGGATTAAATATTTTACCTTTTGAAAGAAGGCTGAAAAGTCTTTAGTAGCATTTCCTTTGGCTGCTTTATTTTTTAAGGCTATCTCTTCAATTGTATCTTGAAGAAATTTAGCCACTTCCAGCTTCACTCTTAATTCCTTTTTCAGTCTCTCTTCCTGTAAAGAATATACCTATATTAATTAATAGAAACCACCCCTGAATATGCCGAAAATGAATTTTCTTCTAAATTCCTTTCTCTCATTAAACATAAAGAGGGACAGAGTGAAGCAATATTTCCACTTCAAAAACCAGCACTGCTGTGTGGAACTAAACTGTTAATCCAGGGTGTAGTTACCTTCTTAGATTTTGTCTCAAACGTTGAAGGAAGCATACCAGGGAACAGCTTTAAGGCTACAGGCAGCAGGAATTCCATGAACGGAACCACCACAAAGACTAGGAAGGGGACCAGCCGAAAGAGATCTGCACATATCCGAAGGAACTAAAAACAAGCACATATTAGTCACTGGTGAGCACCTTGGGATGGTCGAAGCTGATAAGGAGCCAGTTCTCCACACTGTCGTGCCACCATCCAAAGCAGGGAGATGCGGCTCACACAGGGAAGCCGGCCGGCCTCCGCACCCCAAAGCAGGCCGGACTCGCCCTGCCTTGTCCTGCAGCTTCACTCCTAGGTGCAGGTTCGGTCTGTTGCGGGAAGATGGACCCTGTGCTGCTGCCATGCTTGGTCATGGCATCCTGGCTGTTTGTTTACTTACTCCAGGATCTGGCGGCCAAAAGTGCTATTTTTAAAGCTTTGCCCGCATGCTGGGAGGCCTTTATCCTCTGTGCTAGTGATGCTGAAATGTGCCTCGGACATCGGCTGGTACTGCTGAGGGACACACGGCAGTATGGCCACGGCAGGAGGCCCCGGCACAGAGGGGAGCAGGCTCGCGAAAGGACTGCTTAGGCACCGGGCACTTGCTCTGCCTTCTGTTTTCCCCCAGTGGATGATCCCAGGTCACCTCGGCAGCCTGCCGTTGCGGAGCACCAGCTCAGCCCAGAATGCAGTCTCTGCCCTCCAGATCTTAACGGTGGCCGAGGTGGCCAACCAGGCCTGCATTGTGTACCCAGGTCCGATTCTCCCAGACGGGCCCTTCCGGACACCGCGTGAGCTGGGGATAGGCATGCCATGGTCCATTCAGAACTGCAACCTATACTGGGCATCCAGAGCAAACAGGAGGTGGTGGCCGCAGCCCATTAATCTTCTGGGCAAAGCTGGCAGAGGTCTTGGGCTGGGTGCTGAAGACGCCCGGGGGGCTCTTCTGCTGGCCTCCAGTCACGCTGGAAGGCAGGCCTGAGGTGGCTCAGCACTTCGCAGTGACGGGGGTCTTCACGGAGCCATCCCAGCACCCCGTTTGTGCCACCACGGAGCACAGCACGTTTTGAGTTGATCTGCTCAACCGAACAGGGGCAGTGCCCGAGAGGGGGAGAGCTGCCCTCCGTCCCAGTCATGTCATGAGCTCTGGACGCAGGCTGTCAGGCCCTAAGAGCTCCAGACCTACAGGTCCTAACAAGCCTTGCACAGGAGCGCCAGCCCTTCGACTGGGGCCAAGAAACCAGGCAGCAGCTCAGCAGTGGCCGCACCTCGCTGCCCCACCCAGACTGCTGCTACGCCTCCTGCCTGCCTTCAAGGGAAGCCCCAGGGGCGAGTACCGCCAGAGCCCGTTTGGGAAGCGTTTTGCTGCTGGCGGAGGCTTTAGCTCTTCAGTCTTTACTCGGGGTTTATTTTGCTTGATTCTTACACATTTCAGAACGGCTAGCATGCAGATCGTGGAATCACGGAATAGCGGAGTTGGAAGGGGTCAGAGGACTATCAAGCCCGGCCCCTGCTCAGTGCAGGACTCGACACCCTCCGATGGCTGTCCAGCTGCATCTTCAGTGTTTCTACCGAGAGGGAGCCCACGGCCTCTCGGGGTCACTGGTCCCATTGGAGAACCATGCTAACAGTCAAGAACGCCTTCCTGAAGTTCAGCCAGAACCTGGCTTTCTGTAACTTGGGCTATTATTCCACGCCCTGCAGTCTGAATTGATGAAGAGATGTTACCCTTCCTGTTTGCGACGGTCCCTCAGGCACTCGCTGCTATCATATCTCTGCCGTCCTCTCTTCTATAGGCTAAACATACTTGGGCATTAGGAACTATTTTGGCCAGTCTGTCAGAACTTGTAGCAACTGCTAACAAAACATCCTAATACAATCACAAAAGTTCCTGTGTGGCACATGTTTTGTACAAAGTTGCAGACACTTGCCAAACTTCAACCAGCGTTGTATTTTATTGTGTTGATTATTGCTGCACAGCACCCAAAGAACGCCGGCTATTGGGTAGCATAGAGATCAAACAAAAGAAACAGCTTCTTGCTTCGTACCTTTTTAATATAATCAGCCAAATGAGGTAATAATTGCAAATGAGCTACTGCAATTTTGCGAGCTTGACAAACTGACCAAAATAGCTTCCTGCTGGAGAAAAGCTGGGAGGTGTAGAGTTTCTGTCTGCACTGCACCCTGAAGCCACAAGGCTACAGCTGCTTGCCTGAACATAGCAGAACTTGCTCAGGAGAACTTCCACCTGTGTAAGACTGTTTTCTCAGAGAATCTATACCACTAAGAGCACATGGCTCAGTGCCACCAGACACTCAAAGGGTTCTCTATAGGCCAGGGAAAAGTCTTGCTTTGCGCATTATGTTATTTCATTAAATGCCCATGTCAGCTACCTTGCATGGCTACGCAATTTTCCATACATGGTGGCATACATATTTTGTAGTTTTACACTCCAGCATTATGTAGGACCAATTATTCTAACCAACAATGCTTAAAATGCGACTCTATCTGCACAGTTTCAATAACTGCATATCCAGTACTACTGTTTAGAAAAAGCTATCTAAGGTTCCCTAGGAATCGCTGAGATATCACCCAAGTCCCTAAAAATGCCTCAGTACCTGTCTTCTTTCTCGCCGGGACAAGGTGTTGCCATGAAGAATCCGCCAGAGCATCCGCGCAGCAATTTTTGTATCAATCCACAACAAACGAAAGCCATGATAGTAGTGCTTCAATTCGTCGACAATCCTCTGCCCAAGTGACTTTTTAGCAATGCTTTCTTCTGTCGCTGGACTATACACAGGGCCTCCTTCTTCTAACTTCTTATTTTTATCCTTGAGGGACTTCAGTGATTTTTCTACCATGGAATCATCATACCTGGGTTGTGAAGAGTGCCACTTCCGGATTGAAACATAATGTGGACCCAAATTACCTCTATTAGGACACAGGGACTGCAAGTCAACTGATCTCAATGCCGTAAAGTCTCTTTTGTCTGATCCTTCACTCCAACTATAAGCGTCTCTCGCAGCGTAAATATAAACGGAGGAGGTACTAGTGCAATATTGGAAACGAACAGGCCTGTAAAAAAAAAGTGATATTCTTGTAATTACAGTACTTTACAATTAATCCCATTTCTCTGCACAATTATTCTGTGAAGTGACATAATAACTTGATTTTTATCTTGCATGTTTTAATATTCTTCCTTGACTTTTTAACTGCCCAGAAAGCCTTGGCTATTGGGTGGTATAAAAATCAAAGAAATAAGTAAATAAACAATAACTTCAAATCAAGATCACCTAGAACAGTGGTGATGGGACCTATGGCATGTGTGCCCCTGCGGCCACACAGCGCTCTCTCTGGCGGCACGTGGGCCAAGTCGCCGCAGCATCACCCCAGCAACCGAGCGTCGGATAACAGCGCACATGGGGCCATGCGCATGCTCGGAAAGGAGTGCTGGTGCCAGGTGATGACATCACGAGCCGCGACTCATTAGCCGCAACTTGTCCGAGCTTCACATGGCCGGTCAGTGTGCTGCCAAGGATATATATATATATATATATAATTGCTTGGACTGGCTGTGAATTTTAATACATTCATTTTTATTAAGACAAGATTTTGGAGAGGTAGTGGTGCTACAAACATGCTTACTTACGCAGGGTTTATGAGGCCTGGGAATGTGCAATTCAAACATGCATGGTTTTCCCAGTGACCTAGAAGTTAAAAAGAAAAGTCAGTTTATAGATCAGTTAGGATAAATCACGGTGTAATTCACCTTTACATGTACAGCAGCCCACCAAGCTGGCTGGGTTCACAAGCTGCGCCACCACTGCAGGAGCAAACAATGCGATGCTCTGAGTCAGCTGCAAGAAACCCCCACGGAGCCCACCATGTGCTTTAGGCTGCAGCTCTCACGGCTGCTTCTTGGCAGGGAACAAATCCAACAGACGGAGTTTATTTATTTATTTTTCGATTTATATCCTGCCTTTTTCCTATAAAGGGCTCAAGGCAGCTTACATCTCCTCCTCCATCATATCCCCACAACAACCACCCTGTGAGGTAGGTTGGGCTGAGAGTCTGTGGCTGGCCCAGTCACCCAGTGGGCTCCATGGCCGAGCGGGGACTCCAGTCCCACGCTCTGAACCACGACACCACACTGGAGGTGACCCTCTGGCCTGTTTCCTCTTCCCAGGATACAACGCCGACTCTCTGTAAGCCTCCAAAGCCTACGCTTTACATTCAAGAAAAGATGAGCAATGAAACGCCCGGCCCGGCCCGGCCGGAGGGGGTGCGCGGCCCCATCCGCAACCTGTGCTCCCAGGGGCTGCACGAAGGGGGAGGCGGCCGGGGCTCGGAAGCGAGGGAGCCGCTCGTTCCCGCTCGCAAACCACTCACGGCACGGCCCATCCTTAACGTGCGAGGCGCAGCGTGCCCGGCCGGGTGCAGCGGGGGACCCTGCGCCGTCCAGGGGAGCTGGCCCGGCAGGCGGCAGAGGGCACAGGGCGGCCCTGCACGGGCGCCCGAGGAAACGCCCCGGCTCTGCGCGCACCGGGGGGGCGCACCCCACCTCGCTCTGGGCGCCCGCCGCCGGCGCCCGGCGGGATCGCCCCGGAAGGAAGGGCCGCGGCGCCCGGCGCTCCCGAGGCACGCGCACGCGCCGCCGCCCGCCCGCCC